TTTATTGTGTCATGTAGCACGGGCCGCTGGTCTTGGTCTTGACTCGGTCTCGGGTTAGGTGGTCTTGAACACAACACTGCTGGAAATAAACCCTTCAGATAAAAATATAGATATTGGTATGCAATTTAAACGTTTTGATTGTGCCATTTTAAACTGTAATAAGTTAGAAAACTGATTCTTTAATCTCATGAACACATCTAGAATTTGCTTTAATAATGTGCAGAATATACTGCAGTGCTCTTCCTTCTCGTCTTCCTCAAAACAATCCTTACAAATAATTAAAAACTTAGCTGCACATTTACTGAAGAAAACAGGAAAGTGTTCAATGTTGGTCTGTCGGTGTCGGGATCAATGTTCGGTGGTTTTGTGTTACAGCGCCACCCATTGGCCCGTCGTTCCTATTACATCAGTTTCTGCTGCATCCTGACCTGTGAGCCACATTTTTTTCTTATTGTTTACATAAATATATCACACTCATCTCTGTGTGCACAAGGCTTCAGTCTGTTATGTAAATATAAAAACCACAAAGTCAGATCAAAATGTAAAACTAAATATTTTGTCTCACGATAAGAAACCCTCATATCCAGATCTGAACCGAATATTTATCTAAATTTAACTCCAAAGAGAGCAGATACATTACAAGTAACATTATTGAAAACAGGATGCAGCTGAAGTTAGTCTTCCTTAAAATAACTGAGCAACAGAAAAAGATGTTGGAGTTGTTTATGAGTATCTCAGCAGCAAGAACCCAATGATTTATTCCACAAAGGACTCTGGCCAACCAGCAGAACCAAAACTGTTATATTTCATGTATTTAACTCTAATCATTTGAGTGACTGTGGCTTAAAGCTAATAAAAACTAAAATTTGGTTTCTTAGACAATTTGATAATTAACAAATTGTTACCAATGTCATGGATACATACTGAAGCTCTGGCTCCTTGCAAACTTTTTCCTTCCACTTAACTTTCAATACAGCTGTCAGTTAACAGCCTGATTCTGGCTTCATATGTGACTACACATATAACAAGTTAAAATAAATGTTTTATTGTTTCCTAATTTAATATATAAAGAGAATTTTATGACCACTTTTAAATAGTCTTTTTCTCAAATTTGCATTAAGCACAGGCACTTTATTATTATTTTATGTTGAAATTCATTAAAGGATTTGATGTGATGTGAGCCTGTCTGCCATACTTTTTCCTTCCACTCAACCTTCCATTAATATTCCTTGATGTAGGACTCAGTCATCATGCTGATCATGATGAAAAATCTTTTCTGGTGTTATCTAATGAGCTAATTGAATTTTGGGTCATAATAAATATAAATAAACATTTTCTACTTTTGAGTGCCATGAATGAATATAATAATATATAATAACTACTGGAATAATCTGAGGAGCGCCAGCATCAGCAGCTTTTACTTCCACATAAGATATTTAATTATTATTTTACAAATTAGTGTCTATAAAACAAAGATTACAGATTAACAACAAGATGAACTGGTCTACAAAATAAATAACTGTAACATAAGTCATTATGCTAAAGCGTTCAGATGTGATGTACAGAGAAACACATCAGTGTGATTTGTTGTTTTTTATTCAGTTTTCTAAAACAGGAGCACAGCTAAGGCACGACTCCCAGCGAGAAAAGATGGAAAAATGAAAGAACAACAATCCTCTGGGAAATCCAATTAAATCTGGACATTTACACTTTAACTTAAAGTCTGTACATCGTTTCACTTGTTTTTCTGTAATAAAATGAACATCCATCCAGATTCATTCAAATACAGAAACACGCTTCGCTCTGAGCTGCTGCATCTGAAAACCAGTCGGCCTCCAGTTTGGGCCCATTTCCATTTAAATTACCTTAAAATAATGCATAAATAAAACATAAATACATTATGGAAATGAAACAAAGATCTCAAACCCACATTTCCAATGATCTGCTTTTATTTAAACTCTCATGATATTTATTTATTTTATTCTTTTTTCTGTTGAAACAATCAGAAAATCTGGGTTTCTGTTTTCAGGGTTTATCTGATCGTTTTATTTTCCTTCTGAATTCGTTCAGGCTGCAGATCTTAAATTTTTCACTTCAGCTCCAATTTTGGATTAAATCAAAGTGAAAACTTTGAACTTCTAATCAGAAAAATAATTCGGCCTCCTCAGAGTTTCTTTCATTTCACTTAAAACCAACAAAAACAACAAACATGTTTTTTTCTGGAGGCTGTGATTTAGTTTATTGGTTCATTTGCTTCAGTAATTCAGTCCAAAAGGTGAAACTCAGATTTACATGTCAGAGTGATGTATTTCTAGTATTTTTCATTCAATTTTTATGATTATCACAGTTAATAAATAAAAACCCCAAATTCTGTTTTTCAGAACATTTTAAGCAGTCTTTTTCACAGTCATGGAGAAAACGTGACCGATGTTCACCAAACTGAAATCTCCACAAAGAGAAACCACAAGACATAACTTCTAAAAAAATAAAAATGGCTGGTGGAAAATTAAGTGGAAGGAAAAAGTGTGTTAGAAAAAGATTCACATCAGCACGTCTTTTCTCTTCTGCCCATACCAAGTAGAGAGCAGATACGATACAGAAATATGACGGAGTTTTAAATCCTTTGTTAGGATTTAATGCCATATTCTTATTTTCTGAAAATTAAATTTTGGGATTTTATTATTAAATTATAGCAGAGATAATTTGTGAATAAATCTCTCCATCTTTATCTGTCACAAAATTTCAACTTTTAACGGTTTTCAAATTCAAAACATATAAAGAACATCAGATTTTTAAACGTCTATCATACTGTCATCAAAACTTTTACTCATTCCATCATTAAACTTTTGGTTTTGACTGCATTTACATGGTTTGTCCACATGAGGGCGCCCTTTGTAAACAATGAAAAGCCTTCAGTATTCCTATTTAAATCAGTGGGAGCTGTTCATCAGTTCTGTTCAGTTTAAACTTTCTGGTTCAGTTTGTCATGTTGACGGGTTTCACTTTTCAATCCTTCCTGAACTTAAACATCTAAAATGAGTTTTTCTTAGTTATCAAATAAGACGAGATTTAAATCCCAGGATCAGCAGGATAGCGCTCCGGTGGAGTTCAGCCTCCCTTCATTGGGACAGCAGGCCATAAATAAAGACATCATGGCGTCCTGAAGTCTGAGGTCGACATCATTTAATCGTTTCTTCAGCCTTCAGAAACAAAGGCACACATTTTCCTCCGAAGGAGGAAAAATTATTTATATAAACTTTTGAATAAATTAGTTCAGCAGTTCTTAGATGTTTGACTCAGACAGAGAGATTTTTTTTTAAATAAAGAAGATGGATTTCTTCTTGGGTGGCTCACTTCAAGTCTGAAGGATTTTAAAATGGCACAAAGAAAACCTGACGTTGACAGAACAGAGCAGCTGGGGAAAAACTTTAAAGGAGTTAGAAGAATATCCATCAGGAAAGATCAGAGGCGTGGTTTTTAATCTGTGAAAAAATAACAGTTTTAATATCCAAGATGATTCCTCTGCACGTGAAATATCCCTGTAATTCCAACATATAATGAAGTAATAGCATCTGGCCAGCAGGTGGCGATCATGGCAGCATTCTTTGCTTGTTGTGTGATACAGCAGCAGTTCTTCATGTTAATAAATAATGTGGAAACGCTCCAGCAGGAGGGCTGGGTGGCCTCCTGCTGTGAGAAAACGGTTTATTACGCCCAGATCAGGATTTCTACTGCGTGAAACATGGAGCTCAGTGTTTTCCAGATCAGGATAAGTATGGAAAAATTAAAATATGGAAACGTTGGTATTCCCAGATCCCAATTCCCTAAAGTACACAGTACATATTTCACCTTTGAACTCTAAAATATTGAACAATTAACTACAGATGCTGCAATTAACTCAAATAAAAACTTCACTTGAAGTCACACTTTGGATTTAAAACTGGCTAAAAAACAACAGAAACATCAGAACAATTTGTTTTTGTTGGTTTTGCATAAATGACAAGCAGCAACTCTGCATCTAGGATCCAAATAAGAAAAAAAAATCATTAAAAATAGCTCTGGAAAAAAAAACATGATTTTTCAGGGGGAAAGAGAGATTAAAATATAAATGTTATAAAATTACAGTAACTGTTGGCACTGTGGTCAGACTTTAATTATCTGAAAGCTGCAAAACCGTCACATCATGAACTTCAGTAAAGTTTTTCTTTTCTTAAGGCTCACAGAACATTTTAAATGAAATTATGAAGTTATTTACAGCATCTGGTCTGCAGCTATATTCTGCAGTTTATTTTGAGAAAAGTTTTCAGTGTGGTCACTTACATGTTGGTGCCACCAGGTGGAGCTCTTCACTTAAAAACCCAGTTTTTTTCCATACTTACATCCTGGGAAATACTAGAAATAAATTCCCAGGAATCCTGTGGAAAGGCTGGAGTTGATTTTGGTCTCAGTTCAAACATTAAATAATGTCATAATTAGACTAAACAACTAATAAATAATAATTTTTGTGAACTCAACAACAAGAGGTATGAAGTTCTGGTTCTGACATTCATTGGGCCGTGTTGTCCCAAACCGAACTGGGACCAGACCGGGTTCGGGTCCTCCTCCGTTCCTGCCACCTTCAAATAAATAAATGTTTCCTCCATCCGTCCTGCTGCTACCTGATCCGGCCGTCCGCTCTGGGCGCGCTCAGTTCGGATTTGGGGTCGGGGCTGGCGGAGCTCCACGTGGTGCGGAAGCAGCGCTGCATGACGGGGCAGGCGCTGGGGCCCAGCGAGCAGACGTCCGCAGCGGCCCAGTGGCCCTCCAGGAGCCCGTCCAGCCAGCGGCGCAGCGGCGCCCCCGTCAGGCCGGAGTTGGCCTCGGCCTCCTCCACGGCGCGGAGGCTCACCGGCAGCCGCAGCACCGGGTTCAGGCCGTGGAAGCTCTGCTCCATGTAGGAGTTCCTGGGCGGGCCGGCGTGGAGCCGCAGCGTGTCCTCTGGGTGGACAGGGGGACAAGCAGGACATTCAGCTTCTAGGCACCACAAATCTGGAACAAACTTCCAGAAAACTGAAAAACTGCTGAAACAATGACTTCCTTCAAATCAAGGCTGGAACCCTCCTGTTTAGAGCTGACTTTGATTAATAATCAGTGGAATACTGATCTACACATTCGATGCGTATTCATGTTTTTGGCACTTGTTAAATGTAATGTTTGTTCTCACTTAGAGACTGCACGATGTTTTTGTGACTTTGTGTGTTTTTATGATGTTAAGCACTTTGAACTGCCTTTTTGCTGAAATGTGCCACACAAATAAACTTGATTGATTGATTGATTCAGAAAACAAGTTTAAGCTGTATGTATTAGCTGTATGATTAGGGGCAATGTAGCTTCCCACATTTCTTAGCCGGTTTTCCACGGCTCCGTCCTTCAGCTTCCTGACCTGCGGGGCTCTCTGGACTCCATGATGCTAAGGGCATCATGGAACAAGCTTTTTAAATCTTGCTCTTTAAAAACAGAACGGCTGCATTTAGTCTGACATTAATCTGCACTGAACGGATGTCGTCTCAGTTACTAATCAGGTCACTTCAGAAACATTTGTTGCTCTGGATTTTTATTTAGAGCAATCAGAGTAAACGGAGTTGATGACAAATACACACCACACTTTTCAGATTTTTGGTTCTGGAAACGGATAGCTTTGCATCAGCTGCACTCTGGTTGTCACATAACAAAACGAGGGGGACTTTTTATTTTATGAGTTATGTAGAGCTGTTTGGTTTGAGTTTTGTGGAATCAGTAATCCTACTTTCTGATTTTTTCTTGAGTTCAGCTGTAGATGGACTCTGTTCAGGCTGAGAGTTAAAATCGGTCTTCAGTTCAGCAGCTTCTTTCTGCCTGACTAACGTCTGTCTGGTCTTTAAAAAGTCCTGCAGTTATCTCTGGACCGCCAGCTGGGGTCAAACAACGAGGGGGGTAAATCAGGCAGAGGTGATCCCGCGTCGCCACCGAGCGCCAGGATGGACGATATAAATACATCTGCTGCCGACAGCTGAGGCTGCGGCGTGAAGTTTGTCTGAGCGGCAGCGGCTCGTCCAAACCGTTCAGACATTTTCATTTACAGGTCATGTGACTTTCTGTGTGAAGTTGGACCAACCACATTCCTCCAATTAAATGAAATTGCCCAGCCAGCATACCTAGGTGGGCCCCATATGGGGAAAAGGAGGGCAGACGATATGGGCCCCACATGGGTTTGCCCATATAAGCCCCATGTGGGCGGTGCCCCTACATGGGGCCTATATGGGCAAACCCATGTGGGGCCACCATGGAAACTGCGGACAAACCCATTTGGGACCCATGTTGTCTGCCCTCCTTTTCCCCATATGGGGCCCACCTAGGTATGCTGGCAGGGTGGTGTCAAACATTTTCATTTGTGCCTCTATCACCTTAAAGATATGAATAAATGTTTTCAGACATCAAAGGTCAACCTTTCACAAAATCAAACAAATCTTGTCCCAATCAGCTGTGCTGAAAATATTTATCTGCACAAACATAAAAAGTTATTTATATACATTTTGTTTGATTTTGTGAATGTGACCTCTGGTGACCTGTGGAAACTTTTTTATCTTAATGTAGCACAGTTGGATGACTCCATATTTCCATTTATTTTGTGAATTGACCTTTGATGACCTTTTGATTGACCTTTGATGACCTCTGGAGACATTTGTTCATATCTTTACAATGACAGCGGCACAAACAAACGTTTTTGCAGCACAAAGGTGTGTCAGTGTGTCGCCGCTCACCTTTCTGGATGGGCTGCTGCCGGTGGAACTCAAGCGGAGCGACAACGAAGCTGGTCTGGCCCAGCAGGTTCCAGTGGTGAAGCACTCTGAGCGTCCAGACGCCGGGCCGCAGCGGCGCCGTCAGCGGCGGCCGGTAGTGGGTCACCTCGGCCGATGCGTCCACCAGGATGTCGTAGGTGGCGGCGATGACGTTGGTGGGGTCGATCCAGACCACGGTGGCGGTCAGGTTGCTCTGGCTGCGGCTCCAGCGCTGAACCGCTACCGGCTCGTCTTCGGGCCCCAGCAGGCCGCCCCAGTTCCTGAAGAGCCGCTCCTTCGGGTCCCAGTCCGACCCGACCTGCAACAACACGACCCGGGTTTGGAAATAGCAACTGGGCCAACCACACCTAGCAACGGGGCCAACCACACCTAGCAACGGGGCCAACCACACCTAGCAACCGGGCCAACCACACCTAGCAACGGGGCCAACCACACCTAGCAACTGGGCCAACCACACCTAGCAACGGGGCCAACCACACCTAGCAACGGGGCCAACCACACCTAGCAACGGGGCCAACCACACCTAGCAACGGGGCCAACCACACCTAGCAACTGGGCCAACCACACCTAGCAACCGGGCCAACCACACCTAGCAACAGGGTTAACCACACCTAGCGACGGGGCCAACCACACCTAGCAACAGGGTTAACCACACCTAGCAACGGGGCCAACCACACCTAGCAACTGGGCCAACCACACCTAGCAACCGGGCCAACCACACCTAGCAACCGGGCCAACCACACCTAGCAATGGGGTTAACCACACCTAACGACGGGGCCAACTCCGCACTAAGAGGATTTCCTCCCAGCAGCTGGATGAATCACTGTGAAGCTGAGGTGGAGCTCAGACTGTGAACGCGGCTCCTGACCTGGATGTGCTGCAGCCGGTTGCTGCTGTGGGGCTGGCTGGCCAGGGTGAAGTGGTCCCTGGGAGCCACCCAGGTCTCCAGCGTCTCCATCTGGGTGGAGGCTCGGTTTGTGGCCACGTGGCGCACCAGGTAGCCCTGGAACTGGTCCGACAGGAAGTAGGCGTGCACCGACGTCGGGTGGCTCATGGCGGCGTACCTAAGAGACAAAAGTGGATAAATGTTTCTTTGTGTTTAATTACGGGGAAATTATATGATAGCTGATCATAAAGAGCAATAATAAGGCCCTGCAGCATCTCCTGCCGTAAATAAAAACATAACAGCAAGGATGAAACATCTTCAAAACAAACATGAACATATCAGTTTCTCAGGGGCCACAATTTATTTATTTTTAAATATAAAATAATTTTAGTGTGAATTATTTTCTTTTTACCTGACCAGTAATACATTAACAAGTATTTTAATTAAAATGACCAGAAAAACTTTCAAAGTTGTACAGCTTCCTTACTTGTTGGTCAAAATATCCATTTCAGTTTTTTCCCTACAACAGAAATGAGATCTGGGTTTGAAAACCCCTCACTGTACTTAACCCATTTTAAATACAGTGAGGTGTGATTAAGTCTGTTTTTGAGTAAAAAGTCACCAAAGGTTTGAGCTCTGCTTATTATGACATTAAAATCAAAGCAAAACAAAAAAAAAAAACTTGGTTCATAAAACAAAAACACCTAAAAGTTTCTATGCAAGACATAAATTTGTTGTTGAAAATCTCATTTTATCCATTCCTGAACTCTGACCAGAGGCCACAGAAAACTACACGGAGGGCCACAGATGGCCCCCGGGCCACACTTTGGACAACCCAGGCCAAACTGATTTCATTTCGGCCCGCATCAAAGTCATGAACGTCCTGTAAGGGCTGGTTTTGGTGAACCCACAGCAAACTGTTAACTGTTAGCTTTCAAACGAAAACTGATTTGATTTGACTGATAAAATAAAATTTAAGAAAACGGCTATTATCTCAAAGTTCACTTTGTGTAGACGGCCACATAAATAGCTATGGTGGCTGGATTGGCCCGCGGGCCTTGAGTTTGACACTTTGGACACCCTGTGATGGGGGATCCCGACCAGAAGCTAATGCTGTTTCAGAACCCCTGATCTAGCTAAAATCATTCAAAAACATGGTTTTAATTCTGGAGTGGAGGAGGGAAAGGCAGCAACTGAAGGTGTTTCCAGATGAATCGCTGCTGCTGCTGGAGCTGCTGCTGAGGGAAACGACGCGGCGTTTCCAGCCAGCCGCTGCTGCTCCTGCAGCGCTGCCTCCACCCTGCCTAACCACCAATCCCCACCCAAACCAGCAACAACAGCCTCCTTGTAGCGGTGGGTCTCCGCCTGCAGCGCACACAGAAACCTTGAGTGGGCAGAGACTGAGGACTGCTTATGCTGCAGAACAAGCGCGCCTTATCTCTATATTTAATTTGGAGCGAATAAACTCGGCCTGCGGTGAGTTTAGTGGAAAGATGCGTCTCTCCGTTTCCCTGGAAACTGGAACAGCAGCTTCTCTGAAACCACTGATTCTACACAGAATCTGTGAATCTTTATGCCGACTCACAAAAATATGGGATTTTCCACAAGCTTTTCCTTTCCGTCAGCAACTTCATGGTAGAAAGTGTGAAGACAGTGAAACACAAAATGATTTATGGCATTTAAAGCAATTATTTATTTAAATTTAGATGATTATGTCTCACAGCCACTGAAGAAATCCTCTAAAAGAAATCTTACACCAGATTTGTTGTCAGTTCATCGCTAAACACGCTGGCTGAATCCAAAATATTACTAGAAAATTAAGTGGAAGGATGACATGGGGTCGAAAGTAAAGTCAATTCAGCACCAATTTGCTACATATACAAAGTATGAAACAATTAATAATGATTAATCACTTATTAAAATAATCATCAACTAATTTAGTCACTGATTAATTCTTAACTGGAGCAAACAGACTCATAAAAGGGCATTTACTGAAAAACCCAACATATTCAGAGCTGTAATTATCACTATTTTTTAAACCAGAACTCCTCAAGTTACATAGTTTTAGCTTCACCTGGATCAAATTCAAGAAATTGCTTTTTAAGCAATAAAATGTTTTTTTTTCTTATTTAAAAACGTAATTGAATTTTTTACTTATTTGCATCTTTTAATGTATTTCTGATGCATAAAAAGGTTTACGTGGTTGAAATGAAGCAAAGCTCAGAATGGGTCTCTGTCTCTTTAAAAACTCCTCTTTCTGAAGCTCCGCCTCCAGGAAGTCATCCCAACATGGATCCTTTATTAACCCTTTAACATCGTTTTCACCACAGAGAAGTGGCTCCTATAATGAGCTCAGAAGATGTTTGCTAATTGTTGCTGGCTAGTCTGAAGGAGCTGAATGGGGGAGGAGCTTTGCCTCGAAGGTGTAGCTACATCCATCTAGGCGCTTTGCACATTTAATGGTTGCCATGGAGATGAAAGGATTCATTAAACATGCATGAAAGAATCAAGGAAAAACTCCAGGTTTGTTTCTGATGCAGGAATAAAAAGATAAAATAGTGGATTTAACATGATGCTGCCTGGATAAATGAATATTTGTATGTTTGTGTTTTTGCGGACGCGGCGTACCTGCAGCTGTTGTCGCCGGGGTGTCCCTGCAGCGATCCGGCGGCGCGCGCCAGGCCCATGCGGGCGAAGGCGTGGTGGTGGCTGAGCGCGGCGTCGGACAGGCCGGAGACGCCGTCCGTCTGCTGGTGGAAGACGTTCTCCCAGTAGGCCTGCAGGCCCGGCGTGTCGGACGGGTACGCGCCGAACAGGAAGGCGTCCAGCTGGCTGATGATCTCCTGGCTGACGCTGGCCTCGAACTTCCGGGCGAAGAACGTCGGCCTGGAGGCCTGCTGCGGATCAACAGCCAATAATTCATCATCCACATTAACACTTCATCTATTTTTTATCCTTATTTTATGTCAGCGTGTGCACATGTGTGGTCGAGAGCATGACTTCCAACCCCGACATTAGAATAAAACCTCAGCGGCTGCCTGGATCCAAAAATACCTGCAGCAGCCTCCAGAACCAGAACTCCTTATAGAACCCGTCCGCAGATGCTGACCTCAGATCTGCCAACGCAAACGCTCCGGAACCGCCTCAAAGCGGCGCTGCTAATTTGTGAATACGCGTCTATTCTGGGCTCCTCTGCAGGATCGGTTTCATCCCAGAGAGAACCACTCTGCCTCACCGGGTCGGAGCAGAACTTCTTCCTGATTTGGTCTTTTTATAGATTTTTTCTTTTTTTGTTGAATCATTGAATATTTGGACAATTATTTCCTCTGTGGAGCTGGAAGGATTTTTTTTCTCTTACTTTTTTACCCTCAAACAGTTGTTTTGATATGTAACCATGGCAACAAACGACTTTTATGATATTTTAATTGTGTAACTGCTTGTAACTGTTGTATAAACTTTGCTGCCTCTTGGCCTGGATTCCCTTGGAAATGAGGATTTTAATCTGAATGGAACTTTTCTGCTGAAATAAAAGTCAAATAAAACTAAATAAATAAAAACAAGGTGTTGTTTTTACAACCAGCAGCTGATTAGCATCTTAAAAGCTCCGTAATATCTGAACTATACAATCCATGTGTTCCCTCTGTCACAGGAAGGATCTTATCCCCTCCTCACTACTCCAACATCTTTCTGCCCAGAGATTTAAAGAGGAGTGGCAAAGGCAAAGGATGCGGATTAGCACATCTAGCTAACGGATGATGTCTTCCAGGACGTTCCTGTGGAACATCGTCTCTAATGTCCAGTTTTGAACTGTTAGCTGTCATGAAGCCGTCATACAGAAACAGTATTCAGTCAGAAGCCCCTTCAGAATCACTGGAACACAGACTGCATTGTTTAAATTTATTCACGTTTTCTTCTATTTAAACTAAAAATTACTTTTCATTTTTTTAACTTGAATTTAAATGTTTTTTAAAATTACTTTAAAAATAATTGAAATGTATTAATTTAAACATTCTTTAATTTAAAAATGTGCCAAATTGGCACATTTATAACCTTATATATTCTATTTGTAATTAATTTGTTATTGAGCATTTTAAACTTACGTTGCAGCAGTAAAATAATAATTTTTACTTATTTACACATTTAATTGGACCATTTTAGTTGATTAATAAGGAATTTTAAAACTTTCTATTTAAATAAAGATGAAAAAGTTAGCTTTACAGATTTATTTTACATTTATTTTTAGAGAAATGACAAGAATGTCCTATTTCTGTCAAAATGGGAAAGACCAGAGAACCTGATGTAGAAATTATGTGCCAGAATAATTAGTAAGCAGTCTCCATGGCAACCATCAGGCCCTATTTACATGCTAACTGGCTATTTGGTTAAAATAAATAAACATTTATTCTGTGTTTGAAGCGACTGAACTTGGCTTGACGGGCGCCTCCAGGTGAGGCGGACTCACCTGGAGGCGCGGCAGGTCAGAGGGCTTGAAGTCGTTCGGAGAGCAGCCGCACCAGTCCACTATGTGCTTGTACTGGCACTTGCATCCCAGTTTGCGGTTCCAGTTGGTGAGCCTCAGGTTGTTGTCCACCATCGTCTCACAGTGGATGCTGTTCTCCAGGACGGTGTGGAAAAACGACTGAAGACAGAAGAAAAAACGGTTTTACAAACAAAAAGAAGAGTTAGTTCCTTCCTTCACCAGATGAGGGCGCCAGTCAGCACAGTCAGCAGATTAACATCAGGAGAAGAAAACTGTTCCTCTGGTAAAGAGGGAGAAGCAAAACAAACCAGACAAGAATCTGTTTGGAATTTAGATAATATTTTATTTTCTTCAAAATTTTAAATGTTAATTTGCACTTTGTAAAACATATAATAAATTATTAATACTTAGTTTTAATTAAACTTATTTTTACAATTGTATTTGGATAGTAAACTAAACACATTTTTAGGATTACCAATATAAAAACTGTATTTTTTTCTCTACATTCTTTATTTTTTAAAATAATCTACAAATCCTGATTTTTAAAATTTAAAACATTTTCTTTTTAATAAAAACTGAATGACAAAAAGCAGCGTGTTGTGTCTGTGTGTCTACCTCGGCCGGCAGCAGCGTGTAGCTGTAGAACCGCTTCATGTTTCTGACCAGATCGTCCTGCGAGTTCACGACGTAATCCACAAACGGCCGGCTGAGCAGGAACCAATCAGAGCCTCCGTCCACCGACACGCCCTCCGGGATCTTACGGTCTCCCAGGCGCCACATGTGGGTGTCGCACTCGTAGAAAACCCGGTCCAGGCCCTGCTTACGGATGAAACTGGGACAAAGCCGGTTTTAACTCCCAAACGTTAATCAGACCCTGGATTCATGTTTAACTCAGTGGTCTCTAAACCTTTTGTTTCACATGCCAACATCTTAGAAATGAAATACTTTTAAAACATTTCTACCTGCTCAACAATAAACTAGACCTAACATTTTATTTTAAACAATACAGTTTTTTTTTTACTGCAAATGGATGTCAATTATTGTAAATCCAAAGCTGAAAAAAGGTTTTGCATGTTTGATTATTAATAGTAAAGCAACCAGTTTGCAAATTCTGCAAAAAACCCCCCCCAAAAAAACGACTTTAAAAGACAAAAATAGTTTTGTACCTAAAAATGATCGTAAAAACATTAAAGGTTGTTTCCTCAAATTAAATGTAAATAATCTCCATTTGCAGGCCGGACTTGTGTTTTGAAAATGTATTTAGGGCCACATAAAATCACTCTAGGGGCCACAAATGGCCCCTGAACCGCACTTTGGACACCCCTGGTTTAATGAAGGTAAAACAACTGCAGACGGCTGCTGCGTTCTTACCGAGCGTTGTCTCTGCCGTGAGACTTGATGAAGTTCATGTTGCGATGTTTGGAGAGAAACGCCACCAGCTGGTCGTTGGTCCTGAGGAGAACAACAAATTTACAAATTAGTAAAAAAATGAAAAAGCATCAGAGATTTCACAGCTGCAGGTTTTTATGAAGAAACAGGGGGAGGATTTCCAGGTCTCTGCTCCACCAGAACCAGAACCAGAACCGGAACAGAGTTACTGCGAACTGAGCCTTTTCCTCATGTCGTTTATATGGAGGACAGAGTCTGACATAATTTAGCAATAAACATTTAAATAAATAAATGGCTTGATAAAGTAATTCATGCGCCAACATTTAATCTGAAATATAAAAATAAGAATTTTCTCAACTTATTTGATTTTCCAGCTGTCCAGGCACCAGTCAGCACCATCCGTCTGGACCTCTGTTGAATTAGGTCAATATTTACATAATCACTTGTTTTATGTTACATATTTTTATTTAATCATCATTATTTTTGCAAAAATAAGTTTTAAATTTGAAATTAAAGGGTTTTAAAATAATGTTTTGTTCAAAAAAGCCAAATTTTGTTGATTTATTGATTTGCAAAGGCAGTAAATCTAATTGTTGCTTTGTTTGAGCGTCAGTGGCTTCGTCCTGGGACCAGCCGCTGCTCTGTGTGTGCTTATGGAACAGGAAGTCGGCTGCAGCTTCCTATGGACGAAGCACTTCCTGCTCTGAAACCAAAACAATCTTCCAGGGAAGTGTGAGTTTCCTTGTTTGGTCGCAGCTGAACTGATTTATTTAATCGGCTGCAGAGCGAAACGCAAAGAGGAAACGGAAAACTTTGACAGATACGTCAGAGGCCGGAGGCGTCGGCGCCACCTGCAGGATCGTCCTGATTACATCCCACTGCAGGGATGTGGCTCTGCTGTGTTGGTTCTCCACGGAACGGGAATTCCCTGATTATTTCTCTGATTTAAGGTCGGGAAAATAAAAATTAGAGGAAAAAGAACAACAGAGCAGTAAGCCAAAATTGTACCAACATTTAAATACATTTTGGATTTATAAATGTAAATATGTTTGATACTTTTAACCCATTTTTCTTTATTTTTAAACCTGTTTAATCTTAACGTGTTTCCTGTGTTTTTTTAATGAATGTAGTTTTTAGTTTCTGTGTATAAACACTTTAAGTTTCCTTTGGCTGAAAGTTGCTATATTAATAAAGTTGCTTTGCCTCGTCTTACCCAGAACTCCAGTTTTAGCTCCACCTGCAGTTTTAGCTCCACCTGCTTCAAATTCAGTGAAAAAATCTAAATCTAAAACCGTTTTCTACCCAATTATTAATCAATTAATCCAAAAGATTATCAATCGATCAGCCCTAAACTGCTGGTGTGTTTTAGCTGCAGATGATCAAATTTTCACTAAAGGAATTCTGTTGTTGCATCTTATGCAAGAAAATATTTATTTTCTTATTTAATAAGAATTAAATTGTTTATTTGCATCTTTTGTTGTATTTCCAAATTTGTACAAAAAAGGCTTAAGTAGTTAAATAAATCTGCAGAAAGTGCTAATTTTTTTTATCTGATTAATCACCAGAATAATCGATTATTAAAATAATCATGAGCTGCTGCAGCAGACTAACAAAGTGAAACATTTGGTCCGTTTTCCTGACCTTCGCCTGTGACCTCAGCCATCGACTGATGGTGGCGCCGAAGCTGCGGCTGCGTTATGGATTTTAGCTGGAGGCGGTTCAGACTGCTGACGACCATCCTGTGTGACCTGCTGCTTTTCCGTCATTATGAGGACAAACAAAAAACCCAAACAGAAACGAGGAAACGTTTCCGACTTCAGGAAAAGAGCCGCCTCCAAAATAAAAGAGTTAAACTCAGAAACAGCAGCTGCTTCCACCGAGCAGCAAACTAAGAATCCTGTTTAGTCTCATTTATTTATACTTTCATCTTTTTATGCAAAAGGTCAATAAAATATCCAGATGCAAAAATATTTGTGACATTCATTACAATACATGTTCTTTGACAGTAACTATTCATTACACCCACTTTTTATTGCTGTATTTAAAGTATTTTTTATCCGTGTGATTTAATATTATAATCTTAAATACAGGTTTTTATTAGCTGTAGGCAGAAAATATTCATAATTAACAGAAACACAAACTTAAAAACATCAGTCTGTGTGGAATAATCTATCAAATAATCTTCACTTTGTGAATTGAATTTCAATAAAATTCTAATTTACTGAGCAGGTCTGCACTGCAAAAACACAAAATCTTACCAGGTATTTTTGGTCTATTTTCTAACACAGACGTCTTGATGCACTTAAAATAAGACAAAACTAACTTACAAATAACTTTTTTGCAAGACATAGAAGATTGTTTTACATCAATAATTCTTAAATATTGATAAAAAAATAATATACGGGCAGATTTTTTTCACTTAGATCAAAACGTTTTTCCAACTTTTGAAGTGTAAAAATCTGCCACTGAAGCTTGCAGTTATTATCAATATTAAGTTTCTGTTGAAGTAAAACAGGCTTCTGTGACTTGCAGAAGTTATTTGTAAGTTAGTTTTGTCTTACTTTAAGTGTTCTAAGATATTTGCACCAGAAAACAGTGAGATTTTGTGTTTTTACAGTGCAATTATAGTGGCGAAAATGGAAATCTTTCTAATCCTGTAATTGTTCTTTTTATTTATTTATTTATTGTAGATTTCTAGGATTTCTGAAGTGCTTCTTTTCATTTCCAGTGTTTTTTTATACGGATAAAATCCAAATAAAATGTTTGAAGGGGTTCAGAAAACCTGGAGGACAGAAACTAGATGTTGAGTCGAGAATCAAAGCAGGACATGTTCTGAACGGGCCTTTCACCTGATGGGGTAGTCGGCGGCGCTCAGGTTGATGAAGAAGTCCCAGGACCAGTCGGCCATTTTGAGGAGGTCGTCCATGCTGCGCAGGTACATCGTCAGGAGACTGGCTCCGCCCCAAATGGTCGCCATCCTCCAGGGCGTCACTCTGACGTTGGGGAACCGGTCCGCCAGAGACAGAACCTCTTGGTGGAGGTAATCGGACCTCTGAGATGAACAGAAACCACCAATCAATCATTTATACAGATTTCATAAAATGAACTTAGAGGTGCTTCGTAATAAAAAGCTTGGAGATATTCATTCAAAAAATGACTTAAAAAAGCATGAAAACACTTGGAGCGTTCTCTTTATATTTTTGATTTATGGATCTTTTTCAGCAGACTCCCCCCGGTTCTGCCGGACTCCCCCGGTCCAGCCGGACTCCCCCCGGTTCTGCCGGACTCCCCCGGTTCTGCCGGACTCCCCCGGGTTCTGCCGGACTCCCCCCGGTTCTGCCGGACTCCCCCGGTTCTGCCGGACTCCCCCCGGTTCTGCCGGACTCCCCCGGTCCTGCCAGACTCCCCCCGGTTCTGCCGGACTCCCCCGGTTCTGCCGGACTCCCCCGGTTCTGCCGGACTCACCTGGTCCACGTGGATGTAGTAGAAGTGCGATGTGTGGTAGATGGCCTTGAAGAGCCGGTGGAACTGGCGCACGGCGCGGCCGTGGACGACCAGGACGAAGGCGACGCGGACCGGCGGCCAGCCGGTGGCGCCGCCGTCCCACTGGACGTTTACGTTAGCCTTACCTGGACAGGGAGGAGACGGGGTCAAAGGTCAGTCTGCATCACAGCTATACACTGTAATCACACTGAAAAAACACAAGATCTAAGTAGTTTCTAATATCTTTGTGCACTTTAAATATGACAAAATTACAGATAAATAAGTTTGTAAGTCAATAATTCTTGAATATTAGACAAAGTGCCAGTTTAATTGGGAAAACACATTTTTCCCTAAGTGAAATAATCTGTGGGTGGAACTAATAGTTTTTATCCATATTAAGGAATTATTGACTTAAAACGAGATTCTTTATCTTGCAGAAAAATTATTTGTGAGTTTTGTCTCATTTCAAGTGTATTCAGATATCTGCACTGGAAACTACAAAAAATAATCAGAGATGCAAATGTCACATGACTTTTTGAAAAAAGACAAATATCTACTTTAGTTTATAATTTTCATAATTTTTAAAGAATTAATGTTTTATTTCTTATTTTTAGGCTTAAGGATAATCATAAAAGATGATGGATATTTATTGAAAAAGCACATCGAGTCCAACCTGTAAAACATATTACTGGTACGTTTTGTCTTTCTTTGTTTACATTTGGTGCAAATGTTGCAGGAGAAAAATTTTAAAATGTTTAAAAACCTGCATTTGTTATTACATTTGTATTTAAAATGTTAAAAAGTTATAAAGAGACTTTGTGAAAGGTCCAGTAAATTGATCTTTATGAACTTTAGATCTGTTTTTCTCAGGCTGGAATCTACGTGCTTTTTAAAATAAAAAAAAAATAAAAATAAAAAAGAACAAATTAATGTTTTTAAATTCAGATATAATAATAAATGGAAGTTTTAAACCATTTTTTAGACATTCTTCCAGTATTTACACTGAATTTACACAAAGTAGTGATATGATTTTAGGTCTAATTAGGTTGGAATAGATGTGCTACTTTATGTTGTTTTTATGTTTATCTTTATTCTAACTACTAAAAATAAAACATTGGTTATTTAAAAGTTGCCTTTTTTCTATTTTACATTAGTTTCATGTGGCTGTCCTGAGAGAAAAATTGGGTAAAACGTTGTAAACTGTTTTACTTTGGGGTAAAACCAAATAAAACCTGTGGAAACCGGGTGTAAATACTTTCCTGAAGCTCAAAGCAGAACAAATGCTCTGAGGCGGGTTTCCGTGTTTTAACGGCTGAAAGGTTTGCAGAACAATCGAGCGACCTCCTGGCTGCAGGCCACGCTGGCTCCATGAGCCGAACGCCCTCGACGTGGCCCGAAAGCCTAAAACCGTCTAAGGAATCAGAACCAGCGCCAGTCCTTGGACCTAATGACTACTGTGTCATCAAAGGAAGCTGTAATCATATAAATGAAGCGTGGGGCGGTCCTTACACCGAGCCATTAGGCAGCCTGCGCAGAGTAAGACTACAAACGGGTTGTTTAATTAGGGTGTAATTACCCAGCATCCTCTCTGCATCTCTTCGTACTACAGATCCTGAAAATAGAGCTGCCAACCACAGAGATGGCTCTCTGCTGCTTCTGCTAAAAATGTTCCTCAAACGGTAAATTTAGAGAAGAACGAGGCGCAGCTGGATCTGCGTGTTTAAAACCCAGAGACCCGCTGCCAGACGGTCCCACTGCAGCTGCAACCATCAGTCGGATTAATCTGATTAATCCTCAGGTAATTTAGTAATCTATGTGCTGTTTTTAGTGTATAGTCTAAGAAAGCAATTTCTTAAAAGAGCAACAAACTCAGAGCAGATACGGAGCCAAAACTGTACAAAGTCGATAAAAACACATTTGTCTGTAAATGTTTCCCCAAAACTTCTAAAGCTGCAGTTTTAACTTCGCCGGGAAATAAAATGTTTATTTTCTTAATTAAAAATGAATTTAAGATTCTGTTCATATGCATCTTGTATTTCTAATATTACATAAAATGCTAAAGTCATTGATTGAAAAATGTGACAATTTGTCAGAAGAATCATCAGATTAATTGATTACTAAAATAACAGATGCAGTGCCGGCCCCAGGCAGATGCGTGTTAGGCGTCTGTTTAAGGCCCCCACTCCACCAGGGGGCCACCAAGAGCAAAAAAAAAAATTTCAAAGTTTGACTTTTTTGAGTTTTTTCTAGAACATTTCTTAGTTTTTTTTTTTTAAGAAAATGTTTAACTTTGCAAACTCTGAATCCGGCCTTCAATTTGTTGCAGCCTTATTAGGTTCATTGTAGACGGAAAAAAGGTCGAAATTTCTGCCAAAATATGTCAGAAATTTTCTAGAACAAAACAGGGAAATTTCTGAGTTAAAAAATCAAAAATCTACTAGAAAAAATGTACGAAATTTTGGGAGTAATCTCAGAAAATTTCTAGAACAAACCTGGAATTTTCTGATACTGAAACATCAAAAATGTTTGAGTCTTAAAACAGAACGCTTTGACAATTTTTCTAAAAAAAAATTTCGGAGTATTTTCCAGTAAATTTCTGACTTTTGAGACTCAATATATATATATATATATATATATTTTTATTCTAAAAGATTTGAGATTTTTTCCAGTAAAGTTTTGCCTTTGGAAGCTCTGGACCGGGCCTGGTCGTGCGCCGCAGCCGTGGTTCTGACCTTGGATCGGACAGTAGCGCGGGACTTTCTCCGGCATCAGCGCCCGCTCTTTGTGCTTGCAGTAGACCTCGACGATGCGCTGCCGGCACTCGCGGCTCTTGGCTCTGGACAGAGCGGAAATGGCCTCCTTCCCGCTGATCTCGCACTGCGGCCGGTCCCTGTTGGGCTCCGGACCCGGCGGCAGCGCGGGCGACCCGGGCCGCTTCGTCTGGAAGAAGGGGGCGTCCTGATTGGAGCCCTGAGCCGGCGCCGGGACGGTCAGGATGTGGGTCTGGTTGGGAGCTTTAGGGAGGACCGGAGCATGCTTTAGGACTTCATTTCCCAGCATGCCTTGGTTCTTTTCCAGCTTTCTCTTGCCGTTTGCAGCGGAGAGACGCTGACGCTGCGACCGCGCTCCCAGGTTGCTGTTGCTGTCGATGTCAAAGTCTTTTTGGACCGAGTTCTCGTTGTTGTTGCTGTCGGGGCGGAGCTTTGGACGGTGGGGACGGAGGACATCCTGCAGGCGGAAGGACAAAACATCAGGAAGATAAAAACAAACCGCTAATCCACAGCGACACATCACAGAGATACAGAAGAAATGACTACATTTAGAACAAAAACACTCAGAAATTTTCTATCAAAGACAAGAAAGTTTCTGAGTTTGAAAAGTAGAAAATCTGCTTGCAAAAATCTCAGAAATTTTGATTTTAAACTCAGCAATTGTCTAAACAAAACGTTGAAATTTCAGAGTTTGAAACACTAAAAAATTCAGAAAATTTTGAGAAAAAAAACTTTAAAAATGAAAACATTTAAAATTTTGGAAATTTTCTGAGTTTCAAAAGTAGAAAATATCTAACAGATTAGATTAGAGAAGCAAAATGTTAAGATGTTTTTCTTGTTCAGTCTCATTGAAACATCAGCTGTATAGTTTAACTTTGGCTTTAAATTGTTTCTGGTTCCATGAATATGAATGAAAATGTGGGAAGAGTCGCAGAGCATTCAAAGTGTTTGTGTTCCAGCAGCTCAGCATCGTGACCTCGATGGGTTTCTAATCCCACAAATCGCCCCATTTCTGTCTTTCCCAGAGATAAACGACGCGTTTGAGTGTGTGTGGGAGAAAGCAGCGGTATCAGCTCCGACCACCTGCTCCACAGACAACCTCTCATTATCTCATCTCTAATATCAGCTTAGAGGAATGCATGAGTGCAGAGAAGCGGTGAATATTCCCGGCTCTCCTGGCAGCGCTGTGATTAAAACAGGAAGAGATAAAAACCTCAGGACAAATTAAACTCCCAGGATTTATTCTTCTCCTCCTGAGCTTTCACAACCTGAAACTACAGCAGCTAACATGCTGGTCATGTTTTAATTACTCAGGATGACCAAACACTACAGACTTCCTACCAGTGGCGACCCAAAAAGGGGGCCACAAGGGGGCCATGGCCCTCTGGCAAAAGCCTGGCCACCTCAAATAATCATGCTCAGTTTATACAAACGTACACAGAATACTTTGAAATCTGAATAGCTGAAAAGAAATATAACTTCAAAATTGAAAAAAGAAATGGGGGGCTGGTCTTTATTTGGACACATAAAAGTGGAACCTTTGTATTCATGCGTTTCTGGTACACCCATTAATGTGATGCACAGCACCAGCTGGCGTTGGCTGGTGGTTGACTTTTACTTCAAAAACGATGTGATTGATCACCGTAAAATACCACTGAAAACCAGAAAATGACTAAATAGTGATATTTTAATTAACAAACCTTTTTTGCTGCTAAATTATTGAAGACATGCATGAAGGAGCTCAAAATGTAATATTTAAAGTTTTTAATCTGTTGTTCAAGTACTTCAGTCATCTGATTGGAGCAGAGTTTCAGGAAGTTCTGATAATTCATGGAGCTTCTTTAGAAATGTGAACTGTGGATGCTAACATTAGCACTAGCTGCTACATGAGTAGCATTGAGATGCTATTTTAGGCTTGAAAAGCTTGGCTTAGGGTTAGGGTTCATAACTTGAACATGACAGTCGTCTTTTCCAGCGTCCAATCAGATCGTTTTCTAAGGCAGAAATGAATTAAACCCCATCAGACGTCGCTTGTGCATCAGATTTGTGAGGCTCCCAGAAACACGTGAATACAAAGGTTCCGCTCAGAAAAAAGGCAAAAAAAACCCCAACAAAAACTGTTATTACATTAAAATGTTTTACACATTTCAATTCATAGTCAGAATTGCAAACAAAAAGATGTTTTTAATTGCAAACTAAGAGCTCCTGATAGAAAAGGTATTTCTCCTTCCTTCTCAGAAAGACAAGCGCTGTGTTTTTTCCCAGCATGCCATGCAGCCCTTGGAGACGGTCTGCAGCCAAAATACCAGCGTTTACCTACAAACACATCCGTCTTTCTTCCAACCAGAGTGGGTGTCGTCCTGCTGGGAGACGCTGGCCTCGCCTCCCAGCAGGCTCCCACTGAACGACTTCAGACCCCCTGCTGGTCGACACAAAGGGGAAAAAAATCACAAAACGGAGGAGAAACGAGTCCTGGAGGCAGAAAGGGCAACAAGACGAGAGACGGAGGCTTCAGGGGGAAAGAGTCAACATGGTGGATCAGGAAATAAATGTTATTTATCAAACAATTGAAAAACACCTGAAATATTTTTATTTATGCTAATGAAGAGGAGTCTAGGAACTTCTACTGATGCATTTCATTGTTTCTCTGGGTGTAAATATGATGTGACACAGAAACATTTCTGAGTTTAGGACATATTTATGTTAATCTTTGAACAAAAAAGATAAAAATGTTCAAAGTGAACTGATAAGCCGAGCAGGTTGATGCTCAGCTCTGATTTAGTTTTGTTTTTGATGGTTTATTACAGACAGGAACATTCTAGACAGAAAAAAGGAACATTTCAACTAAAAGAACTAAAAACTTTTTACATTAATCTCAGAAACTCTGGAAAAAATTAAAATGAAAAAAAGCAAAAACAAAACAATTAATCTGGAGATACCACAGATTCCTGGGAACTGAGTTAATGCAATGCATTCTGGGATTCAGAGTTTGTATGAGTCTCTTTTCTGTTCAGTCCTCTAATCTGGTTGAGGCCAGAAAACCTGAGGGGCTGCAGGTGAAACAGAAGATATGTGTGATTTATTTATTTTTTTCCGTCTCTGATGAAACCTCAGACGGCAGCGAGGCGTCGCCTCCAGCTGCAGTTATGAAGTTTGAACCGTCATAATGAGCTCTTTCATCGGACGTACACTGCCGCTCTGTAAGGCAGCGATTCATTAGAAAAGCTCCGACGACGTGTTTGCACTCCGGGACCCTGAAGGTACTGAAAACAGAGCGGTTCAGACTCCGACCTGCAGCTGGAGAACCAGAACCAAACTGGTTCAAATGAGACTTCAGGCCCTCAGGGGCTTCATGTCAAACTCACAGAGCTGCTCTCCTTTTCTACAGGAATCCACATTTTTACCAACATTTACAGAGAATATTTCTCTGGTTGTTAGATTTTGGAGCTGGAATCTGAAGAAATCAGAAACTGACGGCTCAGTAATGATGTTTATGTCTGAGTTCAGAAACACATATGAAGGCTTGGAAATGACGAACATCTTTAAAAATAAAACATTAAGTCTGAAAAACGTGAAGAATTTAACTCATTATCTCAGGATTTTAATTTTAAAAAGTGTTAATTTGTCACATGTATCAAATTAAGTTGGTCAAACTTACTTTATATTCGGTTGTTTAACATTTCAGTTTAATGAGTTTTCTTGGATAAACTTAATTTGTGGCCAGCTGATGTAATTTATGGAAGTTGGATCAACTGTTTCTTTTTCGGTGGAGTTTCTAACATTAAACGTTAAAGCTGCAGTTTGATGCTGACGGCAGATGGAGCATTTTATTTTAAAACGGTCGTGATGTGACGGTGAGACCTGCAGGGATTACAGCAGGGATGTCAGGCTGTTCAGGAATAACCTCAAAGAATGTGAAAAAAACATTAAGCAGCTTTTTAGCTTTCATGTCGGTGTTTGAAGCTGATTCACCAAAAATAGAAAAACAGATTTCCATAAATAAACACTCTTTGTTTTACCTCTATTTCACCTGATATTCAATAAACTTTCCTTAAATCTCTGGTTTTCTCCTGTAGAATAAAACACTAAAAGTGTTTTTCTTTTCGAAACTCTGATTATCTTATTTTCAATTAGGACAAAAATTATTACAGGCAAATTAAAATCTTCTAAGACTAATTAAAGGAAACATTACTCAAAATCAGACTTTGCTTAATTTAAGCTGCTTTTATTTAATTTATTAAACTTGGGAAAGTTTTTTAAAGAAAGAGTGACTCAACTGTATTCTTATTGCTGAGAAGAAACTAAACAATTTGCAATATAAAACCGTATAATACCGACTGCTTTATTTGTTTCAATGAAATATTGCATCTTCGTAACATAATTATCATTTTTGGTGATTTTATTGTATTTGATTATTTCATCCTTTGTTTTGAAGTTTGGATGATTTTTCGCTCCACTAACATCCTGACATCATCGAGTTCATCCAAACGGACGAAAACGTCGCTGCGGTGCAGAAACTGCTTGCATGAAAGTTCAAATATGATACAACAAATATCGCTCCAATGCAATATCAATATATTGTTTTGGTCTAGTCAAATCACAGAGTCTACAAGCAAAACCTGCGTCCAACAGGAAGCCGTTAAACAACAAAACCAAGAATCTTGGAAAACAAATTTAAACCAACAAAACTCAAAACATCGGATATTAATGAAAACATTAAATCTCAAAACTGTTTCATGTAACTTTATTTTATCTGGACTTTCAGAATCAGTTCGCCGGGTTTCTAAACCCAATCAGTGTCTGAAAGTTATTAATCACTAAAGTGACTTCAAAAATATATACAAATGACTTTCAATGAGTAAACAAGTATTTAAGGATTAACAATCTCAGCTTCACTAGGAAGCAGAAATCCCATCAGTCAAACCGGATCGGAAGTAATCCTTTAATCTGATCGGACCCGGCCGTTAGAACAGAATCTGCGTCAGGTTCTGACTTTACCAACAAACCGGTTTCACTTCAAAGCAACTTCAGGACGAAACCAACCGGCCTGCAAACTCAGCCTCCTGTTTTAGCCACTGAGGTAATGGCCTAGTCAAAGTCCAGAGGTGAAACTCAATGTGTCATAAAACTGATGACTGACAGTTAATCTCAAAACAAATCAATGTTTATTCATCAGATTCTGTAATAAAAAGTTCATGCAAACAAAACTCGATCTAAAGAAACATTTTCTGCCTGTTTCAGGTTTTCTAGGAGTTTATTCCAGAGGAGCAGAGAAACTAAACGCTGCCTCGCTTTGCTGCATATGGAGCAAGAAAAGTGTCTAAAAACCTGAAGCGTTTTCACCACAGCTGATCAGAAAAGCATCCAGGCTCAGTGATTTACAGACCGACAGCAGAAATAGTTTATAACAATAAGTCATATTCTAAACACAAACCTGAAAACCTCCACAGTATAAAACATAAATAAACTACAATGGCTCATTTTGTGGTTTTTGGTTTTATAAAACTATTTTCTACCACAAAGAGTCTCTGGAGCAGGAAGGCGTGACCATATATGGACAATCACATTGTTGCTCTTTACGTCTGCAGACGGTTAACAGACTTTTCTTAAAATGAAATATTTTTCAACAGGAATACGTCAAATGTATGTGGGGCCACTTAGCAACAGAAAGGGAACCGGATGAGGTGTTGTTTGTGAGCATAAAGTTTATAAAAATATGAACAACGTTCACACAGTCTGAATGATTCAGATTTAACCAAATTCTGGTTAATATTCAATTTAACATGACAAATACAAAGTGACTCTATCTGTTAGCAATGATTTGCATAAATAATATGCAGGAAAAAATGATTTTAACATTTGGGAATAAAACTATTTTGAAATAAAAGCTGTAAGTGAGTTGCACCAGCTGCTACCTGAACGTTTTTTAAACAGAGATGAGGTTCAGAAATGCTCCATAAAGCATTTCAGCTCATTTAGATCTAAATTTCTCTCACATCACGTCTCCTCTGATAAAACTAGAGCAGGATCAGAGGAAGTGCTGCTGGTTCGAGTCTGGACCCGCCGCCCGTTTCTGCCGGGGGATTCCAGCTCCTCTTCAGCAGTTTGTTGGATACCAGATGCTCCTTCCTGAGCATAAACACACCAACGCACCCTGAACGCCTCACGAATAATCCCATCACTTCGGGTTTCACTGTAATGTCCAGAATATTAATTTACTGTTGGAGAAAATCAACTAATAGAAGCTCTGAAAACAGAAAAGTTTGTGTTCAAACTAATTTTAGATGACAAAGTTAGAATTAAATGCAAAAGTTCAAACAAACAAATAAATATTTCATTTTTAAAAATCAATTTTCTTATCCAGTGTTTATCCAACCCATATAAATAATAATATTCCAACCCTAAAAACTCCGTCTGTTTTTTATTTTTACCACATTTCAACGCCGAACATTCAAAAGAGTCAAGAAGCAAAAAATAAATCATCAAATTAAGAGCAGCAGTTCAGGAAAATCTGAATTAACTTAGAACTTATTTTCAATATATAGAAAATGAGTATAGATTTTTAAATAAATGAATTATCAGAATATGTTTCTGTTATTTGTTTATTCTTTGCTTATTTAGTTTGATGTCTCAGTGTCTGAAGCCGTTTCCAAAAGCATCAAATCATCTGATAAATATAACAGATCCGATCAGATAGTCAGTGATGCTAATGATAATCAATCAAAAACATCAAACAACAGCAAAAGGCTTTCTGAAAGCTTTAAAAATTATAATAAATGGGCACAAAACACATAAAACAAAAAAGATCATATTTCAAATGTGAGGATTTTAAACAAATAGTTCACACACAACACAGGTTATAAAACCATTCAGTCACGTTCAGGTTAATCCTTTAAAATCCAAAGAAACTCAGAATAAAAACTGTCAAAAGTTCAACCTGCTGTTGTGACAAAGATTAAGCTGAAGCTGTCAAGCATGGTGGTGGCAGCATGATGCTGTGGAGAGAGGAAGATGTCCTCCAAGTCCTTCAGTTTTCCACTAAATCATCCGGTTCAAACTGAGCTGCTGTTTCCTCCCCAGCCTGACTCCTGTAAAACCTGCAGCGTTTTAACAATCCGGCCTCGAAGTGGGAAGATCACAGCCTCACTGGGTAATGAAAGGACGGGAAAGTGGATCCCTGCAATAAAAAATCCACCGTATTTTTCCTCTTACAGCGGATTCATGTTCTGACAACACAAACACCTGGAAAACACGATCTGAATCCGCGCTGCAGCACAAAGAGAGCAAAACCTCTGGAAATGTTCCGGCTTAAAAAACAATCAGATGTTTAAAACAAAGACTCTGAATATTTAACAGAACCAGAGAGGCGGCTGGGCTCCTGCCTCCAGGAATAACATGCAGTCTGGCCTCAGAGAGAACAACAGCAGCATTAAACACGCGTGGAAATCATGAGTGAAACCCACCGGCTGCAGCTTGAGTCGAGCGGCCGCCTTCCCGTGCAGCGCGGCGGCTCCCCGCGGCGGCTCGTCCCTCCGCTCCGGCCCCCTCCGCCGGCGCTCCGTGGCGGCTTTGTTGAGCAACCCGCTCCGCTCGTCCCGCTTCTCCCGGCTCCTGGCGCCCGCGTCCCCGCCGGCGGAGTCCAGGCTGCTGAAGTTCCACACCACCAGGGTCTGGATGAGCAGCAGCGCCGCGGCGGCGAGCAGCAGCGCGGAGCGGGAGCGGCGCGCCAGCCGCCGGGCGCACGGGGTGCCGACCATCTCCCTCCGGTTCACCGAGAGCCCCGTCCGCTAAACGCAGACAGCGGGGTGTGAATGCTCCCCTCCGCGGCCTGAGAGGGGCTGCAGGCGGGCAGACAGGAGGAGGAGGAGGAGGAGGAGGAGGAGGAGGAGGGAGGATTTGGCACATGATCGGGATGAGGAGAGAGGACTGGAGGCAGAGAGGAGGCCCTCCTGTGGTCATCCAGGGGTCAGCAGCGCTGATTCTTGAACTGAATGACGTCCTGGGGGCAGAAATGTTCCTGATTACCCCACTTACCCCCCATTTACCCCCCTCCTGTCACACTGCGCATTAATCCAGCATCCAATCAGAACCCAGCAGCTGGAATCATCACGTTATGATTTCCAAAACAAGGTTATTATCAGAGGCGGGAGAAATACCCAAAAGCTGGACTCAGGTAAGAGTAGCGCTCCTTCCAGGGCCGCTCCAAGCCTTTATGGGGCCCTGAGCTGATTTTTATTTGGGCCCCCAAACCAACATATCAATTTGCTTTATTGTTCCTAAGCTACTCTATGTTATCGTTAGCATCATTTGTAATTAGCTTCCATTAGAATTTTTAAAATGTTATTTTGTTTTCTAAATGATATGGACTACTTTTGGTCTCGAAATAAAAAATATTTTCTATGAGTTGATTTCAATCCTACAGCAGAAATAAACTAAAAATGCAGAATGCTACATTATTCTAACTTGTGATCTGTGTTTTCTGCGTATTTATTTTGAGGTTTTTCTGTGTTTATTAGTCTGTTCCCCTGTGAGTCTCTGTCTTCCTGTTGATTAATCCCAGCTGTGTCTCGTTTCTTTGATTACCCTCCCAGTGTATTTAGTCCCAACCTGTTGTCTTTGTCTCTTGTCGGATCCTCGTCGTGTCTAACCAGCCAGTTTCCCTGTGCCGTCCTGCTCTTTGTGCTCCCCGTTGTTCTGTCCTGTGGACATTTACCATTAAATTCATCATCATCTTCACTTCATCCTGGCCTGCCTGCGTCTTCCCTCACCTCACCAAAACCCCAACCATGACATAACTATTAGAACATAACATCCATTAATAAACACTAACTTACAGTAAACAAGTTTGATGTTTTATTTCCCCAAAAGTGACAAGAACCAACTGGAATGATGATGAGCATTTAGAAAACTAAAACATGCTGAAATTATAGATGTAACATTTTTGTTTTTGTGATTATGAATCTATTTTTAGTGTTTCAAACTGATGTTTACATCAGCAAATTACAATTACTGAATAATTTTAAAATAGTATTTTCTGTTGAGTATTGATCACCCAATCAATGATCACAATACTTCAACCTTTTTTAATTCTGCTCTTATAAATTAACCAAAATAAAAAACAAAAACTATAACTAATAAACCCATCAGCAGAACAGCTGTGAACTTATATATCTTATATTTGAACAGATGAGTAAAAATATAAGGTTCATCATTTATCAGCTGAACGTGATAAATGAGTATTTGAGCCTGTGAACAAGTTAACCTGCAGATTATTTTGTGTTTTTGTTCCAGAAGTTTTTTATGAACTAAAGCTGCAGTCAGAAGCAGCTGCTTGTTAAATCAAGCTGTGCAGAATCTCAGTTTCCTGTTTCTGCTCCATTCTTCCTCCTCTTCCTCTTCCTCAGCAGATGTTCAAACTTCACAGGAAAGTAAAACTGCTTTAGCACTTTTCTGTTCCCAGACAGAAACTCAGAGGTTTCCGTCACAGTTTTCAGTTTGGTGACAGTCGACATGTTGACGCTAATGAAGAGGTCGAGGGTCAAGGCCCGTCCGACCCACTTTAAATCATTCTAATAAACAACGACAACTAAAGGTTTTCTGGGAGTTTTAAAAGTCATAATGAAAAGGTAGAAACATTTGTTCATTTGTTGCAGCTGTTCTTCTTCTATGGTTTAATAAGCAAACAAATATAAACTGGTCGAAATTAAATATAAAATTATTGACAGACTCAGCATTTTATATCATAAAACTCAATTATTGAGAACGTGGGGGAGTTTCTGTGGGGTTAAAGGTCAGGGGAGTTTCTGTGGGGTTAAAGGTCAGGGGAGTTTGCTGCAGGAACATCATCCAGCTTTTTGTACCTTTCGGTTGAAGAGGCAGCGTCGTGTGAAACTGGCTTTTTTAGCTTTACGTCCTGTTAGAATGTTACAGTAACATTCTAACAGGTATGTTGTTATACCTGGAGTTTTGCTTTTTGACTTTATATGTATGTGTATAAGTTTTACTTTCTGAAATAAGTGACATAAACTTACTGAACTTCTTCATAATATTCATGTTTTTCAGGTGTATTGGTGCATAAAGCCACGTTTTCAGGTCTTCTTCTGTCTCATGATCCTAATTTCTGAGCGAGTCGTTGGGATTATTCACCAGAAATGAAACTTAAACCTGAAATCTGGCCGGCCGTTTAGGTGTGTTTACTGGGAATAAACTCTTTTGTTCCTGCACATCAGAAACATCCAAACTCACTCGACTGTTTTAAAAAACCAGGAAAGTCCTGAAAGGCCCCGTTATGTCGGATATTTTTAACTGGCAGAAATGAAAGCGACATCTGGCCGACCACACCTAAAAAACACCCGACAGGAGAAACAAAAGTGAAACAAAGCAGGTCCATATTTGGAGTTTCCTCCTGAAGGGTTTTATAAGAAGCGGGTCGAGATTCAGCCTGCAGACCGAGACGGACACAAACAGAGGTAAGTCACAGGCCACAAACTTTAACATTTCTCAAAAAATGTTTAATTCAAACAGGAAATATGATCAGCAAACGTTCAAAACCAAACTTCCTGAAAGAAAAAGGTAAAAAGGAAAAAGATAAAAACGGTTTGACGCTTAAAGGACATAACGACAAAACTTCTTTCTGAGTTAAAGAGAAACAAAAGCAGCAGAAATCTGGGATTTATTTTATTATCATTTCAGCAAAATTTAATTAAAAAGCAGTTTTTAAAGCAAAGTGTTTACTTTACTGTAATTGATTAAGTTCCTAAAATACTGCCTGCAAATATGAGGCTAGATTTGTTTTCACTTTCACTTTTATATTTAAAATTATTCCAACAGGCAGACAAATGTATAAAGTTATGGGCAAAAACAAAAATAAAAAAACATTTATTCAATTAGATACAAACAACATAAATTTTAAACTGAAAACATTGTTTTGAAAATAAAAATATTTCTTAATATTTTACCAGTTTAGAGTAGGTAATGTTTTAGAACAGGGTAAAAATTACTCCCAGTTATTAAGCATATGCTGTTTATTCACTTCAGCTTTAAATGCAACATGATTTCCAGATTAAAAACCTTTAGGATAACAAAGCTTTTGTAGAAACAAGAGGTCTCACTTTAACAAACTTTAAGTGTCGGTATTTTGGTTAAAACATGTTTCTTACTCCTTCAGTGAAGTTACTCACAGAAATATTACAAAATATAAAACTTACTGTGTAGAATTACCATATTTTAAAGTTACTGAAGTAACTAAATAGTAACTTGCTACTTCTCTCCTCTGCATGTTAGACGGATAATTGTGAAGATAATCAGCAGCCTGCAGGTACCCATTTGTTCCAGCAGGTGGCGGAGTTGTAGCGTTTATTGATTGAAACTTTTTAAACTTTCTTTTCATGTCCCTTTCTGCAGGGATTCTGACACCATCATGAGCAGAGTACAGTGGGCTGAAGTTGACTTTGATCCTCCTCCTGGAGCAATCCGGTTGCTCACCCCGCAACCGGCTGACGGCAAAACCTACGTCATGTACCATGGCACCACCCAGGCGAAGGCTCAGAGCATCCTGGCCAGCGGTTTCCGTCAGTCTAAAGACGGGATGCTTGGTCGAGGGGTCTACCTGAGCAGAGACCTGGAGAAAGCCAGTCGCTATCCTATTGGTCATCCTGATGAAGACAAGGTGGTCATCAGGTCATCAGTCAATGTGGGGAAGGTGAAACGCATCGATCATCAGAAGCACCCAATGCAGAAGACCTGGCATGACCGTGGATACGACACCGCCTGGGTGCCGCCCAACTGCGGGATGGTGTCAAGCGGCCTGGAGGAAAACTGCGTCTGGGATCCCCGTCGAATCATCATCTTTGACTTGATAAAACCCACTGTAGTCTCAAATGTTTCAGGTGGCTACATGTAAAACCCAGCAATGATTGATGCATTTTATACAATCAAATATATTTTTATATGTTTGTATGAAGAAATAATTTTGTACGCAGTCATTTTGACCCGAAAAATAAAAGTTTCAAACTTGTGACTGATCATAGATTCAAATGTATCACTCTCTGACATGGCTGGAAAAAGTTCAGCTGTTGATACCGACAGCTAAAATAACGTCAAATACATTTTATATCTGTCTATATATCTGTCTGGGTCCTAATGTTTAAAAAGGGAAGCAGTTTTCTTAGCAGTTATGGATAAAGGACTAACCAGTAATTATATTTTAGAGTAGCACTAACATATTTTTATTCAAGTAAAAGTAAAATTCAGCTCAGTACTGCAGATGTACCTGTACATCCTGCCAGGTCTTTACAGCTTGACTTTTTCATTCAGAAAGTGAAACTACTTTAAATATAGCTGACATCAGATTGTTGATTTGCTGCCTGTTTTATTTTCAACTGATTGTACATCAGAAACAATCAAACTCAACCAACAGGTATTAATATTCTGGAAACTCCAGAATGTGCTTTCTTATTTACAAAGTTATTGGCTGGCAGAAGGGAGAAAAGCTCCACGTTGGTCGACCACACCTGAAAGGTAGAAAACAGGAGAAACAAAAGTGAAAACTCATACCAAGTGAAAGTCCATATTTGGAGTTTCCTCCTGAAGGTTTTTATAAGAGGCCGGAAGAGATTCAGGTTTCATTCTGAGACGGACGCAAACACAGGTAAGCAGGGCTGAAAACCTCTAATATTCTCTGAAAAATGCTGAATTTAAACAGCAAATATGATCAGCAGATGTTCATGATTAAACTTCCTGAAAGATAAAAACAGTTGGATGGATTTATATAAATTTAGTCTTGACTGTTCCCCTCCTCTCTTGTAGGAATCTATACCAACATGTTCATGCCACTTTGGTATGACATCCATCTTAATTCTTTTGGAGAATTTTATTTGAACAACCAACAAGCAGCAGATGGCTGGATCTACACCATGTACCATGGCACCACCCAGGCGAGCGCTCAGAGCATCCTGGCCAGCAGTTTCCGTCAGTCTGAAGATGGGATGCTTGGTCGAGGGGTCTACCTGAGCAGAGACGTGCGGAAAGCCAGTCGCTATCCTATTGGTCATCCTGAGTGGGACAAGGTGGTCATCAAGGTTAAAGTCAATGTGGGGAAGGTGATAGCTATCACTCAACAGAACCACCCTCTGCAGAAGACCTGGCATGACCATGGATACGACACCGCCTGGGTGCCGCCCAACTGCGGGATGACGGAGAGCGGCCTGGAGGAGGACTGCGTCTGGGATCCCCGTCGAATCGTCATCCTGGGGGTCATTTACCCCTGTATGGTCCCAGTCCAGCTTGGATATCCAGGTTGTTCATATGGCTACATGTAAAAACAAGCAGTGATTGATTCATTTTGCACAGTAAAATATATTTCATATATTTGGATAATGAAAACCATTCTGTATCATTCTGACCTAAAAAAATAAGAAAAGTTTTAGATTTGTGATATTACATAAAACAGTGGTTGATTAATGCAAAAATCATGTGAAACTGCATGATAAAAATGATATAATTATGATTCAGTCCTCTCAGATCGTTCTTCATAATTTCCCGTTTGTTGTGGGATTGAGACTGAAAAGAAAATGTATCAAATTTAAAGCTGTTTGTCTCCAGACGGGTAGGAATTGAGCTCCATGTGTTATTTAATCAAATCAGGTTGAGTGAGAACAAAAACTGGACCCAGCTCAGTTTGAAGTGATTTCCTTTAAACCTCTTTGGGGCCCAGTAAGGACCTACACTGAGTTTCCTCCTGTATTTACTCATCCTAAGTGGTTCTGACCCAGTTAGCGTCCGCCAATCTGAAGGAAAACGCTGAATAGAAAAGCATGTCGATGTTACACAAGCGGCTGTTCCAGCTGGTACATTACTGCCACCTTGTGGTAGCAGAAATACACTGCAGACAGTTGACTAACCCGCCAGGCTTATCTTGTCGCACTCATAGCTCACGCAAAGCCTCATGGGAATTTGGAATAAGGTGGATAATACACTAGGGGAAGCTTTAGTGTTAGCAAACATGCTATATTGATTCCATTTTACCTTAGTGCTGCAGCTAATTTTTACTTATACACTAATGTTTGCTGACTGAATGTTAGTCAATATAATAGTGATAACTAGTGGTACCATTTAAGCTAACCTTAGCATTTCAGCTAATTTTCACTTATACATTGCTCCTTTTACTCTAAATGTAAAGTTACTGGAGCATTTTAGCTAGTTTTGATATGAAAGCTAACCTTAATGCACTGAATGGAGAAAGTCAGTCAACATGCTCATTTTTAACTAATTTAAGCTGATTTAGCATACGCAGAGCTGTTAGCATACTAGCTAGCTTGTGTAACTGATGATCAACATGCTACTGACAGCAAAAACTCTCTGGTGCTTTAGGCTGCTTAGACATGTTTCCCATTCCGCACACTTGAATTACTTAATTGGTCTTTAGCCTCAGCTCTTCAGTCATTTGAATCAGCTGAGGCCTCAGGGACACGTCTAAAACCTGGAGAGGCCTGGAGGGAGACATCACTGGGCTGATTTGACCTCCAGGTCAAAATCATTAGATTCAATAACCAAAGGAAAGTTGATCCAAAACACAACACCTAATCTACAACAGAATGGCTGAAAAAGAACAGAATTGATCTGTTGTAATGGCCTAGTCAAAGTACAGATGTGCAGCTGAACAAAAAGCTGTTTTTGGACCTTGGGAGAACTAAAACTCACAGCATTAATGGAACAAGAACCTTGTCAGAAAGTGTTTTCAGCACCGCTCAGACTTCAGAACCAAGTCCTGGTTCTGGTCTCAACATGCTTTAGCTGCTTAATCCGTTTCCTTTACGAATCACCAAATTACATCATATTTTATTCAAATTCTTTTTATTTCAGGAGTCTGGAATACAAAAAGATTATTTTAAAATTGGATGCATTTTAAGAGGAAACAAAAAATATCATGATCCAAATTAAGGCCGAGAAAGAAAAATAACATTTTTTAGTCTTAATATCTTCATCTAAAATTTCTCACTTCACGGGATTCCAATCCAGGAGGAGTTTATGGTCCGGTTCGATCCGACTGGAAGAGGCCTCCTGAAACGATTTAAACTGAATCTTATTGATGCAGAGAAGCAGCAGCTCTAGATATGAAGGATCAGAACCGGGCCACCCTAACAAGGAAGCTCACTGGGGTCTCTAGATCAGAATCAGGTCCGTTTTATGGAAGTCTTTTACATCTTTGGATTTTCCCCCCCATGTTGTCTAATTTTAAACCACTAGAGGGTGACACTGAGTCTTTGCCTGATTTTAAAAGAAACAAAATCATTCACGAATAAAAGTTGTCACAGTTATTAATCTACGTTCAGAAATGCACAAACACCAATTATTCCTAAAAATTACTAAACTTCTCCGCTGGATTAGCAGTTCTGGCTCAATCTTCCAGCTTTTTCCGGGACTTCTCCGAAGTGTGGATCTTCATCATGTGGAGCCGGACGTAGGTCTTCCGGTTGAAGGTCTTCCCGCACACCTGGCAGCGGTGGCGTTTCTCCCCGGTGTGCGTGTTGCGGTGCTGCGTCAGGAAGCTGCGGTCGCTGAAGCCGCGGCCGCACACCGTGCAGACATGTGGTTTCTCCCCTGAGTGGCCCCGGGCGTGCCGCAGCATGTTCTGCCGGAAGTTGAAAGACTTCCCACAGTAGCTGCAGCTGAACGGCTTCTCCCCCGTGTGGACCCTCAAGTGCACCTTCAGGTGGCCTTGTGAGTCGTAGCACTTCCCACAGACGTCACACACCCGCTTACTGAGATGGGTCTTAAGATGGAGCTTCAGGTTCTCCTTGGAGTCGAACTGGTTCCCGCAGACGCCGCAGAGCTCTGAGGTGTGGGTCTTAGCGTGATTCACCAGAGAGACGATGGAGCGGAAGGTTGCTCCGCAGTCCTTACACGCCATCTGTGGGCGTTTTGGTGGTGGAGACGAGTCAGTCTCTTCGCTCTGTGTCGCAGTCGGGCTTCCTGGGTTGCAGTCTTTGATGTGGATCAGCAGGTGGCGCTTGTGGGTGGTGTAGTCGTTGAAGCTTTTGCTGCAGAAGTTGCAAGTGTAGGGTTTCTCACCGGTGTGGATCCGGCTGTGACGCACCAGGTGAGGCCGGGTGGTGAAGGATTTCCCGCACTCAGCGCAGGGGAACGGCTTCTCCCCGGTGTGGATCCTCATGTGGATCTCCAGGTGGCCCTGCGAGTCGAAACACTTCCCGCACACCTCGCACACCTTCCCGTTCTTGTGGGAGTCCAGGTGATCCGCCAAGCTCTCTGGGGAGTCGAAATGATTCCCGCACACGCAACAGAGCTCCGTCTCGTGCCGCTTGCTGTGATTCAGCAGGGAGAGCACAGAGTGGAACGTCAAGCCGCAGACCTTACACGCCATCCGTGGTTTCCTTGCCGGTGGACTCCTCCTGCTGCCGTTTTCCGGCGAAGACTCACCGAGGCTGCTGTTCTTCACGGAGTGGACGAACAGGTGGCGCTTCAGGGTTGTGTAGTCATTGAAGCTGCGGCCGCACACTGTGCAGGTGTATGGTTTCTCCCCAGTGTGGATCCGGCTGTGGCGCAGCATGTTGGCCCGCGTGGTGAAGCGCTTCCCGCACTCGCTGCAGACAAACGGTTTCTCTCCCGTGTGGATTCTCATGTGGACCTCCAAGCCGCTGGAGCTAGAGAAGCACTTCCCACAGACTTTGCAGCTCTCCGCCTTCACGTGCGTCTTCAGGTGGGCATCGAAGAACTCCTCGCTGTCGAAGCGCTCGCCGCACACACCGCAGAGATCCTTGGAATGCGCCTCCATGTGGTTGACCAGCGACACAGCGAGCAGGAAGGCTCGGCCACAGACTTTGCAGCAGATCTGAGTCTTGTTCTTTTTGGTCGGGTTGAGTTTAGGAGCCACTGGGAGACGAGGAAGCTTAATCTTCAGCATTGCTACCCTTTTCTTTTTCTTCTTCTTCTTAATGCTACGTTTGCCTTTAGATTGGGAGTTGGCCCTCCATTCTTCCTCACTGTCAGCATCAGAGCAGCTCGTTGAGGCGCCGTCGGCGGCGTCCGGCTGCGTCGACGTGCTCGGGAGAGGCTCCTCCTCTTCCTCTTTAACCATCGCCTCGCTGAACTCTGTTGAACTGCTGACGTTTCTGACAAAGGGAGGCATGAAATTGACCTTGATGATGCTGCTGTCCTCCAGCTCCTGGCTCCGCCCACCGAGGCTGGAGGGATCGCGGTTTGTGTCCAAGCTCCATTCCAGCTCGTTGGGCTCTTCTTTCTGCTGATGGTCAGAGGTGAAGTCCTCGTCCCAGACGCACAGCGTCAACTGGGGTTCCTCTGCAGGGAAATACATAAAACCAAATTTAACAATAAAAGTTGTTTCTCAGACTGTCACAATAATACATTTTGCTGGACGATACATTTTCCCAAAAGTTATTGCGATAAAAGATAATATTGTTGTTTTGAGACCGTTTTCAAGAAATATAATGGTAATGGTATGACTAATGAACTTTGAGTTCAAATGAACATTTAACACTGGAACTGGAAGACATTTCAAAATGAATAAAACAAATAAAATGACTAATGGAGTCTCTGTTTTCAAAAAGGGTTGGTTGACACCAAACACCAGACTGAAGACTTTTATAATCCAGTTTTTGGAAGAAATAGAAGACTAAAATGATAAATCATGCAAATAGAAATGACTGAGCTCATTTTAATTTATCATGCGATTAATTGATTTATTGCTTATTGAGACAGGCCTAGCTGCTTCACATCATTAGAAAACGCATCCTTTTAACCACAAAAATAATCAATATTCATGTTTTGCCATAAGTCTGCAAGCTGTCTGAAGTTAACATCATGTTATTAACTCATGTTATTAACGGCACAGTTAATAACATCATGTTATTAACATGACGTCTTTACAGTTGCTTTCAAGTGAAATCCAAGACAAAAGTAACGAACAAATCTGCAGACTTTACAGCAAGTTCTCCTTTTTTCATAAGTTTTATTTTAAAAAGTGACTTTGCTCAACTGTTAAAACACCTGCAAATTATCGGGGAGTTTTAATTAGTTATCATTTTAATTTCCTGAACATCTGCAGAAAGTTGTTCATTTCTTTAAAAAAATAAATAAAAATGCACCGTGATTAAAAACAGACGTAGAATGTTAAAGTAAATTATACTTTTTAAAAACTTTAGACTTCTGTTCTAAGCAATTATCAAAAAAATAAAATAACGGTTTGTAAATGGAGTTTGGGACAGTGGTTACATAAAAGTAAAGAAAAAACGAGTAAAGTCTGTTAATGAGCTTTGGCGTCAAATTTGGGGAAAATATTATCATCATTTTAGTAGAAATTAAAAAGAAGGGAAACTGGACAAAAATCTGATTCTATTGTCTAAATTTAGTCAAACAAAAATCGATAACGGGCCTCTAGCTGCTTGAGATCCGGGAATTAGACGGAGCCGCAGCTCCATCCGGAGGCCCGTGTTTAAATCCCCGCCGAGAGCTCACGCACCTGAGTGTCCACCTGGACTGCCTGGAGGCTCGGCCACCACCTGGAGCATCCTCCGCTGCCGGTGGAGCTCCTGCTTGGAGAGCAGCAGCTCCTCCTCATAGTCTGAAATGGTTTTCTTCACCGCCTCAAAGATCTCATCTGCGGCCGCGGAGAGCCGCTCGTTCACCAGGACCCGGAGCAGCTGGATGCTGGACATGATGCGGGCGGAGACACTTTAATATGGGAAAAATTGCAGCTGGGGAAGAATTTTCTTGGTGTTAAAACCGAAACCCGACATTAAACTGCAGACTAGGGTCTTGTTCTTTCGAATCCTTAAGGCCGGTGCTGCCACCTGGCGGACCGGAGAGGGAACTGCAGGAACTTTATCAAAGGTTGAGGAGACAAAATTTATAAATTTTAATCTTGGGGCAGCACAAATTAATTAAAAATAAAAATAGAATAAAAAATACAGTGAAACGTTTAATTGTTTAGTATTTTAAGTGGCCCATAGATTCGATCTCCATATAAATTAATCTAAAAGAGCAACACCTTAGTTTCTAAAATCATTGCTATAAACTACAGACTCCTGTAGGAGTTCTGCAGTGTTATGAGGCTCCCAGGGATCATCTGGACCTTGTGCAACCAAAGCAAGAGCTGGGTTTGTGTCCAGGATGTGTGGGATGTGCAGAGGCTTTTCTGACCTTGTCCTGTCAGCCTTAACGATCATCTCTTTAGACCTGATTGTTCAGACCTGTCCTGTTTTATGAATGAACCAAACCTGAAATGAAAGTTCAGGTATTATTTGAGCTTCTGAGATGCTAATCATAGTATTAAGAACACCTTGTTGCCACGGTTACACAAAAAGAAGAGAGCAAGCAAGAAAAGGATGTAGGAAACAGAATAAATATGAGTTGATTTTGCATCACAGCCGTTTTCCCCCCACTCAACTTTCCACAGCTATGACTATTACTGTAAAAAAAAAAAAAAACGTGAAACATACCAATCTGTTTAATTGTGTTATTTAAACACCAGAACAAGTAGTTTTAAGGGAAAGTTCAGCAGAAATCTTTTTCATTCCTGTCGCGTCCAGCAGGTGGCAGCATTCTCCCATAAACTCATTACAGCGCAGAATAAACAGAAATGTTGAAAATTAAACTCAGACATTCAACAGTTTTATTGTGAAAAAGTCTTTTCATACACGTTGTCTTGAACTGTACAATCAATAATTTAAAAACATCATCATCATCATCATCATCATCATCGTCACAGACGTCCTCGTGTTTCAGCTCAGCAGCTTCAGCGAGTCATGAATGAACAGGAGTGTTTGTGCAGCAAAAATATTTGTTTGTGCTGTTATTGTTTTAAAGATATTTTTTAAAAGTTTCTAGAAGTCAAGAAAGGTCAACCAGCACCCCACCCCACCTTCTTCAAACAAATTTGGTGCTTTGTTTGTGCTGCAAAAAAGTTGTTTATGCTGCTTTTGTTTTGAAGATATGAATGAAATTTTGAAGGTCAAAAGGGCAACCAGCCCCCAAAATCTAATTTGGTGTCAATCAACTCCGTTACATTTGTGCAGCAAACAAAAATCATCACTATCTTTAAAATGATAGCAGCACAAACAAAACTTTTGCAGAACAAATATTTGACCTTTCATGACCTCTGGAAACATTTATTAATGTCTTTAAATGGTGCGCCAACGCAGCACAAAGGTTTGACACCAGTTTGTTAGATTTAAAGGTTGACCTTTAAACTTTAACATATTCAAAGCAAAAGCAGAACAAACTTAATTTTTTGCAGCACAAATGTTTGACACCAATTTGAAGAGGGAAACGTCACTCAGGTGAGCGAACAGCAGCAGAACGGGTCGGCGGGTCACAGAACGGGTCGTAGTGAGATCTGTCTGGAAAACACTCAGAGGAACTGGAACAGCAGCTTTTCTGTAAAACAGGACAATTCCTGGATCTATTTTTACAGAATCAAAACAAACAACGAGCCAGAACCAGAACCGGACCGGGACGATTAGTGTCTGCATCTCTGGAACAAGCAGAACCGGGTCAGAAGAAGCAGGACTTATTGATGAGAACCAGCATGAAAACGTGGAATAAAGAGAAAATAAAGTGGCAGCAGGAAAAGAGGAGAGACGAGATGAAGCCCTGCAGAGCATCTATTATTAACAGCAAGGCATCATGGGACGGCAGGCGGAGGCGGCGATGCGGATCACAGGGAGGAAGAAGAAGAAGAAGAAGACAACAGCGATGGATCCCCCGGGAGATCCGATCAGATGAAAAGCAGCGGCTCGGAAAAACTCACATGTTCCAACTCATTTAAGCACGAGCGCACTGCAAAAACAAAATCCTACCAAGTTTTCCTCCAGTTTCTACTGCAAACATCTGAGTAGACTTAAAATAAGGAAACTAACCAACGGGTCATTTTCCTCAAGATATAGGAGAGATTATTTAAGTCAATGATTATTTAATGTGGTTAACAGAGAACTAGTTCCACAGGCAGATTATTTCATTTATGACATGAACATTTTTATAAATGAAATAATCTGAGTGGAAATAGTAAAATCATTAAGAAATTATTGACTTAAACTCTCATATATGTTTCAGAAAAATTACCTGGAAGTTAATATACTTGAAATGAGACAAAACTGACAATACAGAAACTAGAGCAAAAATTATTTGTAAGATTTTGTGTTTTTGCAGTGAACAGAGAGTGAAACGTCCTGCAGCACCTGAATGCAGCGCAGGGAGGAAGGAAGGAAGGAAGGAAGGAAGGAAGGAAGGAAGGAAGGAAGGAAGGAAGGAAGGAAGGAAGGAGACATCAGGATCTAAACTTAAAGTCTGGAAGTGAAAATATTTTTAAATTTTCATTCTGGACGGGAAAATAGTGAAACTGACTGTTTTGGCTTCATTTGACTTAAATAAATGTTTTTTCTTCATCACTGAAACTACAAAAGAAACCGATCAAATCTGAAATTTAGCCGTTCAGATTCAAAGTGAAGCAGAAGAAGGCAAAAACAAACCTAAAAACTTTAAAAACGGGTCAGAGTTTTCCCTCATTAAGGCCCGGTTCTGTCTGAACCCGTCCAGCTTCCCCGATGTTCCCAAACATCGACCCAGAGCTCATCTGAGGTATTTCTAACAAAATACTGAATCTGATCAGGTCTAAACGAGGGAGACAAGAGGGGAGATGAACCTGAAGTAAACAGAACCGTCCGACCCAGTTAAATTCCCGTCCAATCAGAACTCAAAACGCTCCGATTAACCGCGAAATAAAAACCATAACGTAAAACCCGAATCTGGGAGCCAGTGGAAGTGGAACTGGACTGTGTTAGTGATAAAACATGGATCAAGGCACCAAAGCGAGCCTGGACCGGAGTCAGCTGTGGTTCTGTAGTGTGAAACGTTGGTTAGCTTATCGGGAGGAGAGCGGTGAGGTTCGGTACATGTAGTGACGCCTCTGCAGTCCGGCTCTCCGCCCCGCGGTGAAACGTCGCTCCGCCCGTCTCCTAGGAGATCTTGCAGTTGCTGCGGGTGCAGTTCTGCGGCGGGCTCTGCGGCGGGCGGACGGGTTTGGAGCGCTTCAGACTGTTGGCCTTGGAGCCGCCGGCCGGGTTGGCCAGCGAGTACGAGCGTCCGTGCATCATGACGGCGTTCATGCCGTTGGCCATGGAGAACGACTTGAGGTGGGACTTGATGGCGACGGGCAGCGGCAGCTTGTCGATGAGGTGGACGGGCGTGCACGACACGATGGCTCTGCAGCACAGGTCCTGCAGGCTGAACACTGAGGGAGGGAGACGGGTCAGAACGGGTCAGAACCACAGGACCGGATCGCTGAAAAAAGCAGCCAAACTGCAGCTTCGTTCACACAGCAGCAGAATAAATGAACCTGTCACTTTAACAATAAAATGCTCCAGAAATTATTGGAATAAACAATAACATTTTGAAACCATTTTCAGTTATAATAATAATAATAATAATAATAATACAGCCATTTTTACTGCTGTACTCAGAGCGAGGCTGTGGAGTCGTAAACTGTTCACACAGAAGTCATTAGCAGCATGAACGACCACGCAGAAAAAAAAAGACATCAGATTTTAAAAACTCTGAACTGATTAAAGGTTTAGCTGCACGGCTGGACCCTGAGCCGGTAAACAACGCCCCCCCTCGGCCCACTCACCTCTGTTGGGCCTCCAGAACTTCTCCATGCCGTGCCGCATCAGGACGATGCGCGACAGCTCCGTGAAGGACTCGATCACGTTGAAGTTGCAGAGCGGGCTGACCTCGAAGAAGGTCATGCCGTTCTTCTCGGCGTAGGCCCGGGCCTGCTCCGTGGGAACCTGCCGCTTGAAGGCCAGGTGCAGCCGGTTCCCGACCAGGATCCGCGGCACGCCCGGTGCATGCTGGGAACAAAACACAGCCGGTTTGGTATTGACTCAACAAGCTGCAGGTCTGTGCCTGACTGAAACACAAGACTCTGGATTTACTTTGAAGGTTTCAATCATCTAACATCTTTCTGCCAAACTATTTCAAGGAATCTGGAACCAGCAGAGAATCAATAGGTTCTCTCAATCTAAGGAGTCAAAATAAATGATGGAAAATGTTTCTTTGTGTATATAGAAAACAAAGAATCAGAATTAAATGGAGAATAAGTCTAAAAACTTTTTGAAAAAGTGAAATATCCCTTCAATGGTGACAAAAGATGCTGTGTTGAACAGGTTAGGATAGAGCTATGCTCTATACCTACAAAACATTTTTTGCACAAAATCATTCCTTGATAATGAGATTTTATTCGGCTCGATTTTTTGCATTTCAGCTATTTTAGGGCTCTGTCACTTTAAATCCAAATAAGCTGCTGCTAAGCCACGCCCCCAACTCAACATTTACTCACACACATGAAAATGTTTGCAAACAAATGCACAATTATAAAACCATACATTTCTGAAAAGCAGAAGTGGAGCCTCCTGCACAATCAACATGAATGCAGCAAGTGCTTTCTGGATGGTAAGTCAACAACAAAACACTCCTTTTCCAGCAGCCATTGTACAGCAGTAAAACCAGCTGACCAAATGTGCTGGAGCACCGCTTGGGTTGCTAGGTAACAATTGGGAGGTTTTTGAAACGGCTCATTTTCCAGACCCCAAAAAAACATTAAACTTATGTTTTTTTAAAACACGTCTGTTTTTGAGAGTTGAGATCCAAATGGAAGAATAAAAATGTGCAAAAGTGAATTTTGCATAAACACAGGGTTTGGCGAACAGAGAGAGAACGACGCCCCCTGGTGGAGTGGCTCTGGGTGATGAGCCTTACTCCTGATGTCTATAATCACCTCTGACTGAATGATCCGGATCGTGAAAGCTTTGCTTCATTCCCTACATGACTGGGAGAAAATTAATTTATGGAAAATAAAACAGGAGTTTTGTCTCAGCCGACAGGAAAGTTTCACTTCTTCAGACGTTTTAGATGTTTTCCTTTAACATCTGATCCAGATGATTTCAACTCAGCAGAATCTCATTAATCTGAAATCAGCGGCAGCAGAAAAGTCATGTAAAAGCTGCAGGGTGGGGCGTCAACATCCACAGAACATCAGGAAAACTCAGGAATAATTCAGACAGGTTGCATAACCAAACTGAAGGTCAGTCTCATCATATTTAACATTTATTCACAATTAAAACACAAAAACGAATTATTTTATGATTTATTAAGATCCTGCTAGAAGAGGCATTTTATATTTTGTACATTAAATCCACAACTGGCTCAGAAATGCCAAGATTTAGTCAATATTTACTGGAAAAAGGCAGTTAGATGACATCAAACTGTGTAAAGGGCCATAAAAAGCAAAGCAGATCTACGGCTCAGAACCTTTTTAAAAGATTAAATTCAGACTTCATGCAGAGAATTAAACCATCAGGCATTTTGAACAAACTTTAAAATATTTCAGCTTTGTTTCGTCCATTAAAGGTGTCAGAAGAGCCAGGAGAGCCGAGGTGGAGCAGGAAAAGCAGAGCTGGAGCCCACATTCCACAGACCAAAAATACCACACACACACACACACACACACACACACATCGATGCAGCAGACATCCTCTTTGTTTCCATGTCAGCAGGAAGGACACAAAGCAAGACGCTGGAATTCCCTGTTTGCGTCGTTTAGCTTCGCAGCGAAGCAGCAGGAAATATCACAAGTTTTTCCTGATCCTAATCTCATCCTTCAGGTTCCTATGCATCAAATATTTTGTTTAATGCAGCATAAACATTTTACAACAGAAAGAGACAGAAATATCTAACACGACCTGAGATCTGTGTTTGCTATTAACTAGGGCATAAATGATCATAACAATCAAGCAAAAAGAATAAGTGAGTAATCTAATACAAAAATTGCCCTGTTCTGTAGCAGGAATCACAGCTGGAGGATTTTCATAAATGAGCAGAAAAAACATTGATTGTTTGGTGATTGTTGGTGGCGTCTCTCACCTCGTCGATCTCCCTGATCCAGCGGTCGATGCCGTCGAAGGACCAGCGGTTGGTGATGTCATACACCAGCAGGATCCCCTGAGGAGAGACGGAGTCACCAGAATCAGAACGAGTCAAACGATCCCTAAACGTTAGCTTAGCAGGCGCTAGCTCTCACCTGAGCGCCGCGGGAATACGAGCGGAAGATGGTGCAGAACCGACCCTGACCCGACGTGTCCCTGTGGAGCAGCGCAGGGCGTTAGCACGACGCCAAGGCGGAAACACATCAGCACGATAACACAGGAACTCATCCAATAAACTTTAAATTCTAATAAATATCTAACACTGGAACTGGAAGATGTTTTAAATATACAAAATAAATAAACGACAAAATGAATTCTTTCAAAAACAAACCAAAGCACCAGACTGAAGACTTTTATCATCCAGTTTTTGGTAGAAAGAGAGAAACAATAAATCTCGCATATAGAAATTATAGAGTTTGTTTTAATTTTTCATGCAATTAATTGATTTGTTTGCTGCGACAGGCTCAGGTAGAATCATTAATACCCGACGTGAGCAGTTCACGCAGTTATTTTCTCAATCACTTCAAAGTTCTGCTAATGATGATAATTTGATGCTGACACTAAAAGAGGAATTTTTTTCTTTTAAGCATTATTTGTAACACGTACAAAGTGTAAGGTCACAAGATGATCAACATGCCTCATTAAAATTTCTTATTTTTGTGTTGGAGTTCTCATAAAATCGTTCTCATAAAAGAGTTGACCTGAATTCAAAATAGAAACTGTAAAACAAGATGGCCGCCCTCACACGTTGACACCTGAACTCAGGAAACCCAAAGAGCTCATCGGTGATAAACAAATCCAAAAATTTAATCTCAGTTTCTTGTTGAATGACCAAACGGCTCTCTGGAAAATATTTCCTCCAGAACCATGATGGAAACTGAATCCTTTTGGCGCCAGCATCAGTTTTTGTTGACCAACGTTTTCCTTTTCCTGTAAGGTTTTCAAACAGCAGCGGTTGGTGTTCGCTCACCACAGCTCCAGCTTCACCCTCCGGCCGTCCAGGAGGATCGTTGTGGTTTTATAGTCGATCCCTGCAGAGAGACGGGAGCAGCTGTTAGCAACACAGAGACGTCCATCAGGAAAACAGTGACTCAGCACCAGCAGGAAGCATTTAAACGCCACAGCGCTGCAGGGTTTCCCCCAGTGGATTATCAGCCTGGCGGGCTACCAGGCTTTACTTGTGCCCCCACAAGGCTAAGCATTGTTTATTTATTATTGTTCGTTTTTAATGTTTGCCTTTTTTAAGACTTTATAGTTGTTTTTCCGGTATTAATCTTCCAATAACACATTATCATATTTTCAAATTTCCTGCCAATGTTAAACATTTTAAACTTGAAAAATGTCAGCCGTCCAGCAGCCCACCACCGGGTTTAGAGCGTTTTCGGGGGGAAAACCTGAACTGTCAACCTAAAACATGTCAACAAGCCCCAGAACCAGCTGCTGCTGAAAACTTCACTCTCTTCTAGCGAAGCGACAGCTAACGTTTAATCAGAAAGCGCTGACGCAGCGTTTTTCACAGGAAGCTGGATGTTAAAAATAATTCACTTTCCAAAACAACACCTATGTTGTTCAGGTGACTCATGTTGACTTTCACTACTGCTGACTCGGTATAACGCAGCAGGAAACTGATCTCTGCCAAACCCGTCTGACCTGCTGCTGCGGTTTTTATGAAGCACATGAACACCTGAGGACAAACAGGTGCAGAGCAGAGCGGCCCGCTCCCCACCTGGGAAAACGTTTAAAGACTCAAACTGGGACTTTAATGCTTTAATTAGTAGAATAAAGTTTCACCTGTTAAAAAAATTTTAATGCAATTGCATTTATTGTTCTTTGTGTTTTTTAAATAACCTTTCTAGTGGAACCTTTCTATTCGTATGTTTCTGGTACGCCTGTAAATCTGATGCACTAGCTACATGCGCTAACAGCAGCGATGGAAGCTGCTTCTCTCGGCCTGATGGGGGTTAAAGTCGGTTTCAAAACCATCTCAGTGGAAAAGGCTGTTGTTGTGTTCAAGTTGTGCTAAAGTAAGCTAGCCTATCAGTGAAGCTATTCAAGCCTAAAATAGCATCTGAATGCGAAACACGTAGCAGCTAATGCTAATATCAGCGTCCACATTTCCAAAGGTTTTATTGAAAGAGAAAATCAGATGGTTGAATAACCTGAATAAATTAAAAACTAAAAGTTTCTGTTATTGAGCTCATATGTCTATTTAGTAAATAATTTATCAGGAAAAATTATTTTTAAATGAAAATGTTGCTTATTTTGACGATGTATAGTTTTATATTAAAACACAATAAATTAGACTCTGTAATCAACTTGATTGTAAATATTACTGTAATTGTAAATATTACATTATATTTTACAATATGTAAACAAACAAAAGAAAGTAGTGAAATGCTATTTGTCTTGTTAAACGGTGAATTTTAAGTCCTGCGTTGGGTTTTAGATTTCCAGTGATGCAGAGAAATGCTCTTTTTAAAGAAAATATTTATTTTACTATATATTTGATTATTAAAGCAGTCCCATTCGCTCAGATCAGTTTTACAAACAAACTCTGATCAGTGCAGCTCTAAGTTCCTAAGAGGTTCAGATAAATGATTAAAATGCAGCCAAATTTATGCTTAGTAAATGGAACAGAGGATTTATTCTTATGAGTGCGTACAGTTTAATTTCCCTCCCAAAGTGAGCGGACTGAGTTATCTGTGTCTAAATGAAGCAGCAGGAAGAGGAAGTTAGAAGGGAACATGATTTATTATGAAGGTCAGAGAAAATGTCTGCAGCCATGAAAAACAAAGTTCTTCTTTACGTCGGCTGACAGAGAAACGGATCATTAAAGTTTTAATATTTCTGCTTCGATTGTTATTTAAGGTAAACAACTGTTGAATCCTCACATCAACCTGCTAATTCATGAGGCTTTACAGCGAGGAGCTGCTCATCAGTCGGGTTTTCAAAACGACTGCTTCAGGTTCTGACGGGTCACCGCTGCTGGCTAACAGCATTAGCAACATCTCACAATTTCCAGGCAACTTAAAGCTGCAGTTGACCATAAGTGCTGCGCTTGCAGCCTAATTGAATTGGAGTGAGTGCAGGGCGGCGGTCCAAGAGCCGCCTTTCCGCTTAATGCCGGACCTCACTTAGAAATCCCAGATAATCGATATTCTCCTGTGGTGTCTTCGATTGAAGCCGCTTCCATTCAAAAGGAAAATAAAATAAAACTCAGACGGCGCTCAGACTGGAGCAGATTTAACTTTGAGGTGCATTTATTAGATTTTAGAGAGATCATGACATTAACAGAACATTTTCCATCTTTGACCATTTTTTTTTAAATAGTGAAGAGAAAATCTGAAGGCCATCAGTCATTTTGACAGATTTCGATTCACACACAGCCGTTTCCAGCTTTTCACAAACTGCAGAGGAAACTAAATCAGTTAATAATATTAACACTAATAATCCCATCTGAGTGTCTTCTGGCACATGAGGACAGGACGCTTTGTTCAGAGTTCACAGACTTCTGATGGCTTCAATTTGAGGAATGTTCCTGAATTTCAAACCTTTGGCTAAAGTGCTGCTTGTAATCCCAGTGTCCAGTAGAACATGGATCCAGATCATCATATTTAATTAGTGCAAACAGGTGAACAATTCATGTTCATAACATTTATTCATCTGTTTGACGAATTCTCTGTTCATCTTGCTGAATATTAATTAAACCAAATGAAATGCAATTGAATGTCATCACTTTAATTTTAAAAAAATGGTGGTCAAAATATTTTTATGTTTGATTGCATCTGTCAAAATGATGGACCACAAACATATTATTTTATTACAGCCACGCTGTAATAAACAAAACGATGCTGGATTCACTTCAAACCAGCAGGTGGAAACATCCGATTCTCATTTTGTTCCCCAACATTTCAAAGTTCACCTAAAATTTGCATGTCAGTTGGATGGAAACTGTGATAAATTTCTCATCACAGTAAGATTTTGATTATCATTGTCATGATAAATTCTAATTAACAAGGTTTGAAAACCCATAAAACTGCCCATATTGTCAGGATTCTTATTTTTCCATTTTTATCCGGAGTTTCTTCAATGAAAATATGATTCAATGTAAAATATGATTAAATGCAGTTACTGTGTGTATTTTAGTGATACAAGCCACAGACCAAGCAGGGAGTCGACAGCCAGAGATCAGGCTCAGCCAAGAAAATACTTTTATAGCATTTTTCCCCACTTTTGATGCGTCAAATATCAGCACAAAACATCTGCTGATGTCAGCATATTGAATTAAATCAGTAGCTGTTTGCACTAAACACTTCTTCACATTTTCCCATGACATTTAGCTTTAGCTGCAACTATTGCTTCCATGCGTCTGAAACAAATGACGGGAAAATATCAGACCAACCACCAGCAGGTGTAGCATTAGCTACGACTCTTTAAGGCTAAACAACATGTTGCTGTGAGAAGCTGCAGATGAAACAGTAAAGACTTTGAGTTAGCATTGCTACTCAGAACCAGAGCAGAAATTACAAACTCTTTATGAATACCACTGGTTCAGATTAGAGCTCAGAGCGCTTTTAAATCCTGCAGTAGGGTGCCGGTTTGTTAAGTCCCTAAGCTACCACTGTCAGACAACTGCCCACTTTTCTGTTCCCATGTTTGTTTCTATTATTTTGTTAAATACTGATAGCAGAGATCCCCAACATGAAATCAAGTGTTTTTTCCTTTCTACATTTAACTTTCTTCCAAATTAAAGCATAAAAACTTTAGACTTCGCTAAACTGGTTTGAAAACGTAGACATATTTAAGTAAATATTAAAGCAGATTATATTTTGATTCTACAAACCAAATAATGTTTTAAAAAGAGTTTCCATAATGAAAATACTCATTTCTGCATAATTGTTTTGCCATTTCTGCAGAACAGGAACTTGAGTCTGTGCACAAATTAACTCTGTGGTTTTCTGGCTCTGCTGTGAGGAATAATAAATTAAACCAGTGATGCAGGTGAACACTTTGAGGTTCCTCACATTCTGGGAAGCATAAGTCAGTTTTCTTATATAGGAAAAACATGAGAATGAGAACTAGAGCAAATTCTCATGAGTAAGAAGCAAAAAGAAAGTGAAGAAATGTGTTGCAATAACAGTCTGGCTGCATCTTTAAAGAGGATTAAAGAACATTCTGCTTTTTATTTAGCTCCAGCTCTCAGTTAAACCCACTAAAGCTCCTGTTTTATCTGGATCCAGTGATAAATGCCACCAATAAACTTCTCCATTAAACTACTGAACGATGGAGCAGAAAGCCAAACTGATTTGATTACGCGTCAGGAAAAAATAGAAGCTTAGTCAAATTATCTATGGAGCAGATAAACTGAAATGCATCACTTAAAGCTGAAATTACTCTAAATTTTTAAACAGGATTTATACTGGGCTCACTGGGAGAGATCATAACTTTCTAATATTCAACTAAATTCTGAAAAACTTAGTGGGACAGCATACTGATCATTTTCTGAGAAAGTCTTTAGATTTTGTCATTTTATTCCTGGAATGGGTTGAGACAGTGTTAGCTAATATAAAAGGTTGATAAAAACAACTAATTCCACTGGAAGATTATTTCACTTATATGAGAAATTATCTGTTTTTATCTAAATGAAGGAATTATTGGCTTGAAACAAGCTCTTGTTTATTGCTAAAAAATCAGTTCCAAGTTAGTTTTGATTTATTTCAAGTGTATTAAGACATTTGAACCAGAAACTAGAGAGAAATACTTACTAGATAGTAATATTTTGTGTTTTTGCAATGTAGGGAGTTATGCTTCAACTGGCACCCCAAAAATCAGGACCAATCAAAGCCTGCGGGCGGCCTCAACCAATCAGAATCTGTTCTCCTGAAATATTCAGGGTGCACAGAAGGAAACACACACACACACACACACTCAGCCCGTCTGCTGATGGAAATCAATAGCACCGCCGTCTCTGAGCGCGTTCAGCTGCGATCTGCTCAGCCTCCATATTTAATGAAGCCGTTTGATCTCCCCC